GCATCCTCTCTGTGGCGTAGGGCAGGAATTGGTTTGATTGTCATAAAGATTCGCTCCTGATAATTATCTACATTTACTGAGCTCCTGCTGTGTACATGGCACTGTGCTAAGCGCTCCACTTGTTACCGTGAGCCCATCAAGACCCTGTCAGAAAGATGGCGCCATTGCCATGTGAGGATGCGAGACCACAGAAATCCCTTGCTCAGTGGCATGTAAATGGTGAGTGGCAGGCCTAAGGGTGGACCCACATTGCTGTGAAGCCCAAGACGTGCTTTATCCGTGACAGTACTTGCCTTTCATTTTAAATTTCTTTTAGTACAAGAGTCGCTGTGTGTTTCTAAGTGGAATCCAGACTGATAGTGGATTTCTGCTTTGTGTGGCGCTCATACTGTTGCAGTGTCCCCTTTGCATGGCACTGACATACTGTTAGTGTCATTGAAGTATACTCCTAGCAACAGCAGCTCAGGGACGGGACTGATTTATTAACACCCAGTATTTCAGGGACTGCCGTGGGCTTTCATTTCATTTTATATCATGATCCCAGAGTCCAGGGAAACATTAAAACTTCACAAGAGTCAAGGTTAATAATATTCATTATGATTCCTTTTCTGGACATGCTATCCTTTTATAGAGCTGCATCTATGAAACGAGTGATCATTAATGATTTAAGTAGGAACCAAGTGTTGTGTTATTCTGCTTGGGTTGCCATAACAAATACCATAGATTGGGGGTTTTAAATAACAGAGATTTATTTTCCCATCATTCTGGATGCTGTAAAGTCCAAGATCAAGGTTCTGGCAGAGCTCACTTTCTGGTGAGACCTCTTTTCTGGCTTGCAGACATACCTTATTCCACCTGGTCTTTCCTATAAGAACAAAGAAAGGGAGAGTGAGCTCTGTGGTTCTCTTTTTATAAGATCACCAAACCTATTGGATTAGGGCCCCACTTATGACCTCATTTAGACCTCAATAGGGCCCCTTATGACCTCATTTAAACATGATTACCTCCAAAAGGCCCTGTCTCCCAATACAGTCACATTGAACATTAAGCCTTCAACATTTGAATTTAGGGGCTGAGGGGGGAGGGACACAGTTCAGTCTATAGCAGTTCGTTGATTATTTTCTTGTGTTCAGAACTCTTATTTCTGAATGAGAAAATTTAAGACTTTGACATTACCTATTATCCATAGGGAATATTTTAAATAACTAAACCTCTTAGAATAAACTAACTTGCAGTTATTAAATACTTGAAATATTTTGTGTATTATCCTGCAATTGAAAAGAGCGCATGATCCAGGATCTGCACTTGGTAATAAACTTGGTAATCACCAGCACACTCTGCAGTCTTATGAGAAACCTTGTCTGCTATTTCACCATTGTTTGCCTGTTCTCTGTAGAAGTGTTTAAGGGCACTGCAATAGGATCTCCACTTCCTGGAAGAAAATTGAAGGAGAACTCAATTAGAGTTTGATGGCTAAAGAAATATTATTTCTTTAAAAAGATTATTTGAGGTAATATTAGTATTATTATTATTAAAACATCTAACCCTGTTGTGATTTATAGCACAACCTTAAGAACTACATTTAATTTTCTGAATTGAAACCACAATGATGATGATGATGACAGTTTGGCAGTAATAGCTAATATTTACTGAGTGTTTAATAAGCACAGAGAACTATTCTAAAACTATATTAACCGTAATTATTCTTTTAGTCCTTACAGTGATTCCGTGAGGAAGGTCCTATATTTATCCATGATTTACCCTGACAAAGTGGGGCATTGGGAGGTTAAGTAACTTGCCCAAGACCACACAGTTATAGGTGAATGAATCAGGAAGTGGTTCCCAGTGAATCAGGAAGTAACTATGAAGACCCTTCATAGGTTCTAGTTATGAGAATCACTGTGATGAGTTGGGGGAAGGAGGGAGAACAATGAAAACCTTTGCTACCTAGAAATTAAAATAGAAGAAATGCTGAAGTTTGTGGTAGATGTCATAAGAGCAGCATTACCCACCCCCTCACCCCCAGAGGAGTCAAAGCTCCTGAAGATCTTGAAGGCAGTGTGCCTCCAAATCCCATTAGGGGATTTGGACCCTTGGGACCACTTGGGACCACCCAGAATCACCTGGGAGGTTTGTTCAAAATTCAGATTCCCAGGCCCTGTTCTAGAATTGGTAAATCTGAATAGGAGGGTTAGAGCCCAGGAATTTGCATTTTAACTAATACTCTCCCCCCTCCACACACACACCGCAATATGATTCTGAAATATAAGACCACTGCCTTAAAGGATGGATCAGTTTGGATAAACAATGATGGCAACTTTCTCAACAGGGCAACAACTGAAACAAAGAGATGGAAGAACGATGGGTTGTTTGGGAGGGACAGCAAGGAAATAGGTCTAATTAGAATTAAGAGGCCATTTTGGAGAGCAATGCAGAAGCATATTAAGGCCAAGTTTAGGGAGGACTTCAGAAATTGTGGAGCTTCAGTTTAATGAGAAAATAATCACAAATATTCATGAGCAAGAAAATAGCCTGATGAAAAACATTATTTAAGGAATATTAATCTGTGAACTGATGAACTCTAATTTTACAAATTTACCTTTGAAAAAATATTTACTTAAAATTCCATAAACTTTTTTTAATTTTGTCTTTTGGCTTCTGGGATATCTTACAGGAAAAGACAATATTACATTCAGAAATGTCCCCAAAGAATCTGAAGTTTTCCTCAACGTGGGTATAAAAGTCAAAGACTACGTAGTTAGAAAGCTAAGAGTTAAGGAATAGATCTATCATACTTATATCATACTGCCTGTCTCAGGTTGCAGGGTGCAAATCCATTTCTTTTTTCTGCCTGGGATCCTGGGATAGTATGACACTAGCTATCAAAATTTGAAGTGTACATTCCCTTTGATTCAGCAATTCTACTTCTACATGGATATGTTCATGTGTCTACAGAGGTGGTGATAGTACAATGTCATCCCAGGTCTGAATTGGTAAAATACTGGAAACTTAGATAATCTATCAATAAGTATCTGGTTATATAAAATATGTAGATGGTGGAATATTATATAGCCATTAAAAAGGTTGTTGGATTCATGTTTTATGTGTTGCTATGCAAAGATCTCTAAGATATATTTTCAGTGAATAAAGCAAGACACAGAGCAGATGGTGTACTGTGCTACAGTATATATGGATTTTTTTTTTTTTTACATTTATACAAAAGGTAAAGGTGGAATAGAATAGGGTGTGGGGTTAAAGGAAGACCTTCATTTTGCCTTTAAATATTTTGTACTGTTTAAGCTTTGACAGAAGTCAATCACTGTAAATCCATCTTTTTAAATGAACTAAAATGTGTAATATCATTGAAAGCCTATTGGTAAGGTATGCCCACATATGAAACCAAAAGATATTACATGCACAAGTGTGTGTGATCACAGTAAAATCACCCTTAAAACACATTAGAATTTTGTTTCCCACCTGTTACTATCAATGTGTATTCTCATAGTGTTTTTATTTATTCACTCATTCGGCAAACATTTATTGAGCACATGCTATGTGCTTCTACTTAAAGTAAATTTTCAGCTTGGGCTTGAGAATTTCTTTAGCACCATGGACTTTTAAACTTGGAAGAAACCTTGAAAATCAATTCCCACATCTTCTAGGCAAGAGAAAACTGAAATTCAAATAAGTGTGTCTTAAGATCTCACCACCCATTAGTGACAAAAGCTGCTGGGAGAACCCCGTTCTCTCTGCCACCACCATGAGTGCTGTCACAAGATAAACTCATCTTGAATTGTTCTTGACTTTTCACACAAGTGAAGTCAATTCAGATGGTTTTCAGTAGATTTGTCTCCTCGAATGAACATCTTTGGAAACGTTTATTGGTAGCAGAAATGCAGGATCTTTAGTAATAAACATTTAGAGGAAATTGAAATGTTCTGAATTTTGATTTTTTTTCTCTTAAAAAGTAACATTTTAACTTATATGCCATGTATTATCCTCAAGGCTTGTGCTCTAAATTTATTTGGACACTTTTTCAAACAGTGTTAATAGCTCATATTAAAGATCTGTCTAGTTATCACGGGTCAAGGAAGCGTTGTACTAAAAAAAAAAAAAAAAAGAAGAAGAAAAGAAGAAAAAAGTTTTGTTGGGTATGTATTCCCCTAAGATGAGGAAGAACCATGTACATGTAAAGGAGAAAAGAGGCACTCCATCCCTGAACAATACTTTCTGAATTGTGTATTTTCATTCAGCCTATGATATTAATAGTCTGATTTATCTAACCAGAGTAGAGCTGCTTCTTTACTCTCTCACAGCACTTAGCTGACTCAGTGCGATAAATCTGTAAGGTGTTTAATATATCTTTTATCAGCTATCCATTCTGGGGATTTTCTCCCAAATTCTGTTAATACTTTCAGAGAACCAGTGCTCTGTTTAAACAACTGTAGTCATAGCTTATGATATGACGGATATCACATTTTTTAAAAGAGAGATGAATGGTACTATTGGTTTTGAGGGCATTGTATCAGGGTAACACACCAAACGAGAGGACTGTAGTGATTCCTGAAGAGTAGAATTCAGTGCATCTTCTTAGACCTCATTGCTAGCATATCAAATTATGCTATAAGTTAACAGTGGCCTTTTTTCCCTCAAAATTGAAGGAAAGCAAAGGCCAGGCTTCGCAAATACAAAACCAAAGAACCCATATTTGTTCAATGTGGCCCATTTATACAGTATTACCTATGTACACTTTCTTGTTTTTCTGTTGGGAGTGCAGGCAAGCAGGGGGAGGGGTGAGGGGTGAGGGCAGAGGAACAGGGAGAGACTTAAGCAGGCTCCACGCCCAGCGTAGAACCCCAGGGACGGGCTCAATCTCACCACCCCAAGATCATCCCTGAGCCTAAATCAGGAGTCCACCATTTAACCGACTGAGGCCCCTTAGTACCAGTCCTAGTTCTGAGCCAGCCTGTGCATGATTACCCTTGTTTTCCCTCCTGAAGCTGCAAGAGAAATCATCTGGTTAGAAAGGGAAGAGCGAGCCCGGCTGCACTATGAAAAGCACCTGGAAGAGCGGAAGAAGAAGCTAGAAGAACAGAGGCTGAAGGAGGCTCGGAGGAGGGCTGCTGTGGAGGAGAAGAGGAGGCAGAGGCTGGAGGAGGACAAAGTAAGAGGCCGCCCTGGGCAGTGAAGGGGAGGTCTGTCTGCTCCAGAAATGCGGCACGTTTACGTGAAACCTTCCATTGTGGCGCTGGGATGCCTAGCAGCATTAAGTCATCAGTTTTATAGATAACCACAGCTTCTGGAGAGGTTGGGGTACGGAGGGCAGGTAGCGAATGGTATGATTGCTACAGTTACTTCCCGAAAAACTTCAAAAGCCCAGGTCCGTGGACTAGAGCGGTAACTTACTTGTGTTCTGTTCATTTGTGTGAAACTATCAGGCTTTCCCACGTGCAAAAGTTTTCACATAGATTGGCTCATTTAATCTTTACTCAACCCTTGAGTGTTTATATGTCAGTTTCTGCAAAAATGAACGTGTAGACTCAGAATGAGTAAGTCACAGCTTAGTACGTCACGGAGTCGGGCTTACCCACCCGCTCATATTCTCAATGCCATTGTTTTTTAAGATACGGTACCACATTTGTTCAGCCATCTGCTCAAGCTAAGACCTGCGCCACCGTGCCTATATGAATGCACCGTGCTCCGGGTAGTAATAACAAGGGTTGCTGATTTAAGTACCCACCCTTCCCCAGGGGCTCTGGCCGCTGGAACCTGATGCTTTCCGTAACCCTCCCAGGCTGATGTTATTCCTGTCCTGAGGTAAGGTGTAAAGGTTAGGAGGTAGGAGTCCTCCAGTTAAAATCTCAGTAGTGCCTTTACTCCATTCTGCCTTCAGTTGAAGAAGCCTCCAATAACCAGGTTGGATCTGATCACTGCTCCTCTGTTCCATTTAAGGAACGCCATGAAGCTGTTGTACGACGGACGATGGAAAGGAGCCAGAAGCCAAAACAGAAACCTAACCGGTGGTCATGGGGAGGCCCGCTCCATGGGAGCCCCAACATCCACAGTGCAGGTACACAAATCTTGATTGCTTTGGAAAATCACTCCTTTCTTCCTGGACATCAAAAGAGCAGTTGCTTTTCTCTAAGCCTGTGTTTCCAAAACAAAAATCGTGCTGAAATAATTAAACTATAAATTCTGCTCCTACTTGTTTGAGGATAAGAGGGTGATGGAGGTAAGAAGATAAGGTTCATCTCCTTTAACACAGGCTGCTTTTCTCTTCTGTTACACAATTCCTTCAAGAGATAGAAATCTATGCAGTATTTCTAAGAAAACATGCAGTTTGCACACTTTATTATTTTAAATAATCATTTGCATTAGGATTCCAGGATGATGGAATAAGTTAGCCGATTTTATCATCTTCTCTGGAAGAATCATAGCAGTATTGACTGATCAGAATTGATACTCTGAGCCTGCGTGTTCGGACCATAAAGCATGTGCAGCATTAATGTTCTGCGGGAGAAAGCGCAGGTTCTGAAACCAGAGCCAGGAATGTCTCAGTCATTCCCTTGTTCTCGAACAGACGTAAAATCACACTGAAATTTGGACCAATGAGAGGCTTTATTTTTGTACTGTAAATTCAATACACCTTGAATTTTATATAGCGTGTGAGTTCTTTTTCATCTGTGTGAGTCTAATAACTTTTTTTTATTATTATTTACTTTGAAAAATCATTGTCTTACATTCTGTCCCCAGGTGGTTTTGTTGAATCATCATTCACCTTTCTCGATTTAGCAGGCCTGGACCACCACTTCCCAACTCTTGGTGGTACTAGAAAAGCTGGTACAGACATCCCCGTGGTTGCTGATTGCCTGACCCGTAGCTAGCACCTCCCACGTAGGGCCGGTCTGTCAGTAGCTGAATCATCACTTAGTCATAATGCATGCTTAATATCCTGTCGCATAGACCTAGATCTGGGATATGGCACAGTGTTTCTGAAGTGCGATGATAGAACTCCGGTGACTTGAAGGTGTTGAAATAATGTAATGACATGTGATGTGTTTACTTTCTCTCTAAGTGATCATTTTGGAGAAAACCTTTAAAAAGTGTTTTTATAGTTAATAAATTACCCGGGATCAAAGTACATCCAGTTTGTACTCCCCAACCCCATCCCAGCCCCACCCCTGTCAGTACTGCTGTTCTCTGCTCTTAGTTTTAATCTAAATACCGTGGATTTTTGTTTGCTCTATTCTTGCATTCCTGACAGTGCATCCAATAGAATCCCTTTATTTTAAAAATTCTAAAACCAATTTATCACAGCTTACTTTCCTCGGATGTTGAACCATATTCAAAAGCACTTTTTTGTTTTTCCATTGGCTCTTGGGGACCCAGTGGTAGTTGGTGGAGCAGGTGTCAAATCTGTAATCATAAGGCTCATTTATGTGTGCTGTTTTATTCTAGGGGCAGTTTTGCATATATATTCCATGCAGGAAAAGCTACCATGGTGTATATCTTTATAACCTTACTTTTTCTTGCTTCCACACTCAGAGTTTAGTATATGGCCTTTAATTCTGCCACTCAGAACAAGAGAAGCTAGTGCTGTATTTGTTAGCTCTTGGGTAATATCCATTTTTATATGGGCTGTGAATTAGGGAAAATTGCTGCTATACCAGAACAGAGAAGGTTGGAAGTAACTGGAATTTGCCTTCTCCAGGGTCGCAATGATCTGCTGGGATCTGAAGAGCAGTGACCTGGTCTTACTCCTTTAGGACAATGCCTCACTCAGGTTGGGCATTCAGTCAGTGTTTGCTGACCAAAAAAGATCTTAGAAATTAAATTTAATCCAGGTTAAATCAGTGTGTTGCCTTACTGTCCACACATCCACTAGCACTGCTTTGTAAATTTTTTTAAACTCATTCTTCCTTTTTGTGAATTTGTATTTTGTCAGCGAGCAAAAGAAATGATTAAAAACAGTCTTATTATATTAAGTTATCAAAGAAATACATGGTATACCTCCATCATTTTCACCAGGCAGAGCAGGCCTGCATGGAAACACAATGTCCCCCAACTACAGCTGAACATGTAAATATAGTATCAGGAAATGTGTCGCTGTCAGTCACCCAGAAATGGCTTTTGTTATCCTTTTTTGTGTCCCTGGACTTTACACTTCATCATTAAACTGTTCCTTTTGATATTTTATCCTAAATCTTCAGGATTGCCCCAAGAGCCTATCAGTTAAGGGTTAATTGACGTCACAGGCTTGATGTCTGGGTTTGTTTGTTTTATAATTCGAGTGGCTTCAACCATACAAATGCATCCCAGTAGAGATTGGAATGTCTGATGTTGCTAGAAGACTAGTTTATCCCCTATACACTGTCAATAGTGGTCACAAATGGTTATTCTGTGGAGGGACGTTTACTGAAAAATTTTTGACTACCACTGTTTCTTAGACCAATGGGAACTGGGTTTTAAAGGCATCTACCACGAGGATTATTTTTTGTTTTTAGTTTTAGAAGAAGCTGGCAATAGAAAACAAAATATGGCAAAACCCTTTTAACTTTGGTCATAGGTCAGAACACCTACTTGCCCTCATGAATAAATATAATGAGATTTTTTGACTTTATTCAATGCAGTTTTATTCACAGAACATGATCTCTCCTAATGAGCCTGGTGACAGCTGGGTTCCACCGTACAGACAGCAGACTAACAGAGCTGATTTTTGCCTTGTATTTTCTCTCTGAACTTTTAAGAATTACTCAGAAATTACTCACCTACAGGATCAACAGTATTGTTAATAAACTTAAAGAATTCTGATTTTCTTGATATTACCGTCAGTTTCGTTGGGCAGGTTTGTGGGCCGGTTCTACATTTGTAAACACCCGAAACTGCGTGCAATAGGCCCAGAGGTGTGGTTACTTTTAGACTTTTTAAAAAGAAATTCTACAGTGGCCTTCAGTTCCACACCTAGAGTCTTTCTTCTTCTTTCTTTTTAATTTGTTTTTCTGTAATGAACTTTAATGCCCTGGGTAAAGTAACTGTGCAAGAAAAAGCAGCAGTAAAGCATAGAACCTGGAGTTCTTTTTTTTTTTTTTCTTTTTCTTTTTTCCTAGTGTTTGCATTCTATTTCACCAGCCCCATTACTGCCCCCTTGTTCCTGGCTGGGGAAATTCTAAGGGCATCCACTTTCACAATCCCTTCCTTGCTGTATGGTCTGCCCCATTATTTTAGCTGCCCTCCACTGGCCTGCCTGTGGTCCTCGTCTGTCTGTTGTATTATAACAATATGCTTGAATTTCCCTGGCTGACAAACTGGTGTGCTACATATTTATTTTATCCTATGAGAAAAATGAATTGTATTTCTAACCTTTAAGTTACCTTTAAGATGTCCACTTAGAAAACTGTGCTATTATGTAAGATCTAGTAATAGAGCTGAAAGCATCCAATCCTAGTTTCTCCTCCCGTCAGTAAAGTAGGAAATTGCAATCCTGCATGCCGGCTGTCAATTAGCATTATCTCCATTTGTTTTAGATCCAGACAGGCGGTCAGTTTCCACCATGAATCTTTCGAAACATGTTGATCCTGTCATTAGCAAGCGGCTCTCCTCTTCATCTGCAACTTTACTAAATTCTCCAGATAGAGGTACAGTCAAAAGGAAAAAAAAAAAAGTGTTCTGTTATTTACTTAATGCTTTTTTTTTTTCTGGATGTTTACAGCTAACAATAAGCATCTGAAGTTGCTTTCCCTACGTTTCTTAAATAGGAAGAACAAAACTTCAGAGTAAAAAAGCAATAAACGGCTGAACAGCATTTCCCTTGCGACAAGAACTTGCTCATTTTAGAACTTGGCTGAATGGTTGCATTTAGCAGTGATGAAAGCGGTGCTTCTCAACTTTTTAGTAAATGAGTTTACAGCTCCAGAAATCACCCACTTATCCACCAACATGCTAATAACCTTTGTTACGAACATTTATTTCACTTCAATCATGTTGTCTTTGACTTTTCATCTGTACTTTGGGAATTCCAAGCTTTGACTTTCTAAAAAATCTTAAATGATTCATGTTGGTAGATTTCATTTTGCTATTTGATTTCTCATTTAACCAAACCTTGCTTACTGCATTTCTTGTGTGTGCGTGTGATTGATTTTTGGTGTCCATTCATTTTGCTCTTAAGGGATTTGACCTAACTTCAAGAATATCATCATTGAAACTTCCTACAACTTTTAATAATCATAGTCCTCCAGTTAATGTTTTATTTGAATTTTGAGTTTTATTCATCCCATGGATTTACAGTACATGAATGTTGAGTTATTGGTAAAATTTAAGTTTTATTTTACATATTTATATCTCATAGAAGCAAAAATCAAGTTTTTAAGATAAGCTATGGCTTTGCAGAACTTAAATTCATTTTAAATTAGAAAGCCAAAGAATTATTGTGCAATATAAAAACACATACTCTCTAAAAGTAACAAATTGTGATATTTTCAATGCTTTATAAGAAACTGGGAAACGTTCAGTGTTTATAGTCTTTAAAAAGAATTCAATGTGTGCATGTTCTGTATGTGTGTATGTGTATTGATGTATTTTGTATTGTATAAAAGTTGTGTCATTGTAATGTATAATATTATATGTGTTGATGTTATTTTATAACTAGTAACTAATCTCTTAAAGCACTACATGTTGAACAATTTCCTATTCTTGCCTTTTAACCTAAACCATTCCTTTTTTTTTTTTTTTTTTTAACTAATTTGCCTAAATCATGGATACTAGACTTAGGGGCCTTCTATATGTTAGAGAAAAGTGTTATGAATTAACATCTTTTCATAAATAGCCTTTATTTTCAAACCATCCCCTTAGTATAAAATATAACGTATGAGTGCTGTTCTTACAGTTGTCTACTCATCTTTTCTTTGGATTTGATCACTTACTCAGCACTTTAATTTCATACTTTTGTGAACCTCTAAGACAAACTACAATTGGGATTTTACAGCACTTTGAAATCAAACCTTACCTACTGCCTCCTGCAGTTCCACAGCTGCAATTGGGGTAGATGGGCAATAAACCGAACAATATCCTACCACCCTTCTATGGGACGACAGTGATTTATCAACTAGCAACAGGATTGTTTAATAGATTCTGCCTGATCGTGTCTGATTGGATATTCTTAATAGGATCTTAGAACAGGGAGAGTTTTATTGGATGGCTCATCTGCTCCAGTTGGGGTAACAGAGTTCCAGAGATGATGGGCAGAGGGGAAAGACCTGATTTAATATCCTACAGACTAACTGTTGGAGAAAAGGGTCTAGCACAGAGATCACCAGCTCCTAACCCATGTTTTTGCTACACTGAATCTTCAGTTCTTGCCTTCATGGTGGTCCTTCCTTACAACAACCCGACTGTATGCATTCTTCCTTTGACTAAGTAAGGATCAAGGGATGTTCAATAGCCAGGTCCAGGAAACTGCCCCTTGAATCATGGGGTCTATCAGTAGAATCCTAAGCTGGACTAATAGGATCAGAGAGAGAGCACTAAATTTGGGAGTTCTGCTTCTCTGCCCCCTCATCGAAAGAACCGTGAACCACCAGCTCTGGGTCCAATAGGCAAGGTCAAGTTTGGCCAGAAAGGAAGATTTAGTTCATCCAGGAGTTCCCACATAGCCCAGGAAGCTTTTTTTTTTTTTTTTTTCTTTTTAAGTTAACCAAAACCTTCAGTGGGACAGTGAGGGGTCTAGGCCTTTTAATGAAAACAGAAATTCTTCTGAATTTGAACTTCTCTAATTGATAGATTTAAGTAATTTAGTTGGTTTTATTTTCTGCTCTCTTTATTTTTTTCTGCTATTTTTAAAAGTTGGTTATGCTTTATTAAATTAGGAAGCATTCTTATCAAATTATTAAATTAGAGGCTTTTACAGACTCATCTATAAAGGGTGTACACCATTTACTAGATTGTCTGAGCTTTCTCAGTCCTACAGCACAGGCCTTCAAGCTGATGCTAAATTGAGGCTCTGATGCTATCAAGGTTGACATTCAGCCGGAATGCTCTCCTGGTTATAAAAATACTGAAATATTCCCATACTATTTGGTAAATATCCACTTCCCCAAGCTCTGCTTCCCTAAGTCCTCCAGACCTAATGCATGGCACCCATTATGCCTGTGCCCTACTTGTTTTTAAATATTTGGGTTGTCACACTTGAATATAGTGTTACATAGACTGAGAAAATGACCTGAATTAAAGGAAACCTCTGATTAACAAAGATTTTTATAAGTGCTGCAATAGAGAGAATTTTGCCACTGGAAATTTTTGCGTTAAAAATATGTGTTTCTTAATATTCTTAAGCTACCTATTTAACCAGATTTTTCTCAAGGAAAGATAAGGAGTTTCCAAAAAAGCAAGAAATGAAATTACTAAAATTACTCCATACATTTTCCCCTAGAATCTAGATCACAGGACCTGGTGGTAGAGCTGCATTCTGTCCAGAGGCAGGTTCTGTTGGACCTGAGCAGGGTTTTTTGTTCTTGTTTTCATTTGAATTCACTGCCATCATACTAAAAATGGAGTATCTCCTATAACATTTGGGTTTCCTGCTTTTCACGAGCTATCAGGATCTGGCAACACTCGCCTGATTTTTGCATGGCACCCATCTGAAACTGAACAGTGATTTCCTGCATTTGGAAGAACACCATAATACAAATATCTGTGTTTGTGTGCCTCCCCTGGTCCAGATGGTCTGTTATAGGAGTTGTCAATATCTCATTGTGCTTAAGTAGGATCAGTACTAAAAATTATTTCATGAAAATTAATATCCCTTTCTTCAGAAGCTTGTCATCTTAAAATCAGGCACCTCTCAGGTGGTGGGTGGGAGGGCATAAACTAACTCTCCTGTCCTAACCTTTACTAAAAAGTTATCTTACGAAAGAGATCTCTCTCTCTCTCTCTCTCTCTCTCTCGTTCAGGGCATAGTAATGAACGCAGAAACGGAAACATGTTCCTTCTGGCAAAATCTTCCATTCAGGCTGTCAGATCTATGAAACAAATCTCTTTGGATTTGCTTTAAACACAAGTCAAAAAGGGTTTTGAATCTTCATTTGAGGCAGATTCTTTGGTTGATGCTTTAAAGACTCACAGAAATAAAGTTAATGAACTTATTAATCCAGGGGGCAAGAAAAGACATGTCTTCCCAATAGTAAACCATCTCTGCAGTTGTGAACCAGTCATCCTGCAGAGTTTATAAGGAAAGGAAACATTCTTCTCTTCTTCCCCTTCTCGTCTACTTGAAAAAATATAGTTTTGTTGAATATTTTCATTTCATCCTCCTCACTCTTCCCTGTTGGCTTTCTTGTGTGACTGTATAGTACTTTTAGTTAACATTCAGTGCCATTGTTGATGCTCACATACACACATGGCCATATTACAGCAGCCCTTGTTCCATTGTCGTTCTACCATGTAACTGTTACTCTGTTACATATATAATTGTATATATATGACATGTATGTATTGATATAATCCTTTTATTTATGTCTGTCAGGTAAGATTTAATTTAACTGTGAAGACTCTCCTAATAACAGAAAATCTAATAAATAATTCACTATTTCTTAAATTCACTGCAGCCTTGATCAAAATGACCACTTTTTAAAAAATAAAGTCAGGTAATTAAGTACTTACTGAAGGTTGGTAGTTCCTTTCACATGGGAGCAGATATTTCTTATACCAACATTTCACATCAGGTAACTTCTGTTAACTAAAACTAGTTTTTTTAGAATTTAAATGTCATTCCTTTAAAATACAACATACCAAAGATTATTAAAAGAACAATTGCTCCAGAGACAAGAGGATTTGCACCTACTGTTTATGGTATAGATCAGAACTGGCCTTGTCAGGTTTAGACAGTTTTAAAGACTTTTATCAGTGACTAGGGAGTGTGCCCTAAATAAAGATGTATGGTTACCTTACTTTAGTAGTACTTGTAGGATTTTGCAAGCTTCTTCCCTGATATTTTCAGAAAGTAGCTTCTATATTTTCATGGGCCATCACTGGAAGCTAACAATATCAGCTAAGTCATTAATTTATAATTAGCATGCATCTCCCAACAGTGGTCTTGCCACCAAGCCCCAGTATAGTTTGAGACTATATTCACTGCATTGTTCTAAATTTATTTTCTGGAATGTTCGCACACCCACTAGTAATTTCTCACATTAGGTTTATATTGGATTTTGGTTTTTCTATTTAATTTCATCTTGCTTCAGTTTTACCCTTGTCCTCCACCAAAATGTTTACGTTGTTGTCAAACAGGGACCTGAAAGAACCTGGCTTGCTGAATGGAAAGGAAATCCCAGACAGAACTTTTCCTGAGCCCTCTATCCTTTTATTAGATCTAATTTCCCCCCAGTTGACAAAGTAGCAGTTCATGGACATCTAGCAAAATGTGACGGAGACCCTTTCCATCTATATTTGTATAGAAGTGCAGTCTTGCATTAAGCTGCCAAAGCCTGTGTTGGAGTTGATGATTCAGGATACTTAGGAAGCCCTTTGGCTGAGGTGTGTGCCACTTAGTCCTCTGCCCATCCCGGTGAGGTCATAGATAGGTATGACTGCATGCCAAACCCGATGGTGACATGATATTTCGGTTTTGTTACCTGTTCGCTCCTAAAGGGGGTGGTTAGCAAAGTTTGCATCCATGAAACTAACATAGAGCCCATCACAAACTTAACATCTTGAAGAAAGGCAACATTTTGGAATAGCTCCTCCTTTGGGCAGAGTTCACGTCTCCCAGACCCTACGCCAGCTATCCTCCCTGGAGAGCCTTGTCTCTTGTAGGCCTGGCATATAGAAGCAATAAGTATGATGCTCTTGCCCCCTCCTGCCCCCCAGAAAGAATTCGTCTAACATCTTGCTTATGTGGTGACGTCTAGCTCGCCGCCTGCAGCTCAGCCCCTGGGAGAGCAGCGTTGTTAACAGACTGCTGACGCCCACACATTCGTTCCTGGCCAGAAGCAAAAGCACAGCGGCCTTGTCTGGAGATACAGGTAAAACTGTCAAGGTACCACTTTCTTGGGGAGGTAAAGTCTTCCTTTTAAAGCACACCTGAGCCACCCCGGTCCATCCGATCACGTCTTGGTCTTCCTCTGTGTGTTCGCCTTCTCTCTGCCTGGGTGCAGCAGCTTTGGAAATGTCTGTTGGTGTTGGTTTCATGCTCCTGGTACCGTTTCCCCTTCGCATCTTATCTGGACACCAGATGCCAGGCAGACAAAGGATGCCCCTCCTCAGGATCCAATGGCTTTGGATGCTTCTGCGTGTTTGTAATGTCACCAGAAAAACCTACCCTTTCCCCGCCTTTCTCTCTGCCCCTGCATCTGAGCAAACCATCGGAGGTAGACGCAATTTAATATTTAATACTAATAGATGAGCTGGAGACTAAAATCAAAGCCCAGGTTGATTTAAGCAAGAGTTTCACGATGTGGCTGTGTGCTAGCTACTTCTGCCTGTGCCAGGCTTTTGTAGGTAATCTAGGAATTAGTACCCTTTCAAATCTCTGAGAGCTGTGGAGAAGGCTAATTACAGTCTTCTTCTTTGTTACATACTTTGAAAATATGGAGAATGTGCCAAGTACTGGTTATTATAATTAGTTATAACTCCTCTGCGTTTTTGAAATGCAAAGCATGCCTGAATGAGCCAATTAGTTTAATGAGAAGTTAGTGTAGAGCCTATATCTAGCTGGAAAGAAAGATACATACGCAGCTTTTCGCAACGGCTCTTTCATGGTGATTTGGTTTTTCCCTAATATCTCTGGGTACAATTGGTGTATATAAGCAGCCAAGCAGCCCTTGTCTTCGGCACTTGGGAAATTACACAGCCTCTTCATAAAGTTCCCTTTCAAAATGCTTTGCCTCTGCAAGTCTCTTCATGTTCATTAGCCCTCTTTGCGAAGAATTCTTGGTGGTTTTATGATTTTTTTTTTCCATCTCTGGTGCCCAGTGAGCTAATAACAACCCTAATTCTCACAATACCCCCAGGAGGCAGTCGAAGAAGTAAGTGCAGACATTCCTACCACCTGCTTGTGGAAACCAAGTGCAGTGACAATAAGTGACTTATAGAATAGCCCCTTAGAATTCGATTTGGTGCATTGGATCTTATATGTGCTCCCCCCCTCCATCCTCAGCGCCTGGAGTGATGCTCTGCGTACGGTTGTGCACTCAATTAGCTGGACCACAGTGTTCTATGTTTTCTTTGAAGGAACTCTCCTGTCAGCTGTCACATCACATCTGAGATTTTTCTGGAGGAGAAAATACAGCTAATTTTAAGATAGTTTATTTTCTGAGAATGTCATACTCTTACACAAGTCATGAAGTTTTTCCATATGTCCAGCTAATTGAAGAAACTGTAACATTGCTTTCAGTCCTGTTTCATAGGCTTTAAATAGTTGAGGGCTCTGATGCTTTGGGATCTCTACCCCATATGTGGTTTCATGCTGAATGACTGCCTCACAGCTGAGAAAGTGTCTGTCTTTGCTGTTTCTGTCACCACTAACTTGTGTCAATTCTTTTCGTCCTCCTCCAGTCCTTTACGACATCATTGGCTCATTCTCCACCCACTCTGCCGGCCCATCTTCCCACATTCCCTCATCACTGTTCTACTCTATCAGGGTGCTTTTTGCCTGCTGGCTGCCTGTTCTTTGCTTTGCAACTTTTCCATTCTCCTTCTCACAAATGGATACATTTCTGTAATTTATGTTACTGTGAAGCAATGCATAAGCCTTTATTGAGTTGCCGCTCTTATTAATACAATCCTTAGGTGATTGTTACTTTATTATTGCCTTGATACACCTTATATTTAACCAACCAGAACTGTTGTTTTTCTTTATTTTCCATTTGAAATTATATATGTAATTACAATTTATCTTGTCAAAAACACTGTATTCATCACTTTTCCTTTTTCCATCTGCTCTCCACAATTATTCTTCCTTGTCTTTCCATTTTACTGTTGTCTCCTGAGTTCATCTTAAATCTGGTTGCCACTGGCAAGAGGATGACCTATGTCCAAATCCAGGGTTACAAGAGCAGATCACAACAGCCATCCTTACCCATAGGGTGTTTGGTGATGGCGAACTCCCAGAAGAAGCAGTAAGAGCATTTGAAATTTGCAGGTCCCCTACCTCTCATTTGTGGCCACTGCTTTGGGTTGACTTCTCCTTGCCCGTTTTTTAAAATACATTTAAAATACATGTGATTGTTAGAGCTCAGGGTTAAATGAGTTGATACATGTAAAATATTTAGAGTAGTACTTGCACATAGTAGACACTCAATAAATTATTTTTAATTTTATTTTTATTATTATTTTATTTTATAAGTTTTCTATTCTCTGTGCTATACTCTGCCTACTTGAACTGCATTTTCTTTTCTCTGCACCTTTTCATATAGTTCATTTAGAAGATTTTGAGTTAGTTAAATTAATGCACCCTTGCTACCGAGAGTAGAAGGAAATAGAGATATTATAGAAGATTGTCTACTGGACACTCCCTAGAAGAATGTTCATGTTTAATAAAACTACTTTGGGATACCAAGAGCACTCAGGGAAAATCAAAATACTGTGTATTATTGCTCTTACTCTCTTCTTCGGAAGGGCAAGATAATTCCAATAAATGATTGAAAGGTTTCAGGTTTTTTACTAGTTGCAGTTCTGAACAACCAATTCCATGAAACGTAATGTCTTTAGAAAGAATTTACAGTGTTTGTTTTGGCCAGACGATATTCCTTAAACAATTAAATTTGAGGATTCTTGTACAAACTTCACTAGATGGATTGGAGGATATTTTTTTTCCTTTGCTTAATATGACCTCAGTGCTACAATAAAGAATGAACCAAAGGCGTGATGAGATTGGCTTACAGCCATAGATGATCATCTCAGGAAGTGCTGCCTAGATACCCCCAAAATTATCTTCTGCTGGAGGAAAATGAACTCCTATTTCTGTGTTTCCTTTTTTCTGTTAGATCCTGGCCTCAGAGCAGGGCTGTGGTCTAAGATCTCTTAATTTTGGAGCAAGGTGAATGGCCTCTAGTTGTGCCCTGGGCAGTCTGTGCCTCTCCTGGTCATTAATCCCCTGGAAGTGCCTTGTGCCAGGATATTATTCTTCAAATGCATTTGACTGGCTTGCAAGAAGTTTGCATCATTGAACTCTTCCGAGTCTGGGAAATGCAAATGCTTTGTTGTGGTGCTTGAAAAGGGTTATTTTCAAGTAGTTTCCCCTGTGATCACAAGAAGCCAGTTGAGACTAGGTTCTTTCTCCTTTCTCACAATGAAAGGAAACTTCCTTCACCATTAAGGTCTAAAGCAAAGTTTTAGGTCAACTCCCAAGTTAAGATACACATATTCTTTTAAGGAGGGCTGAGAGGGAATGCCAAGTGTTTTAGTTTATCTTGAAGCAACAGAGTTCTGTTTTGAGAGGATTGGAAAAGAGAATGCAATTTCTAGTCCATTCCCTGCCTTGACCATTTAGCGATAACCAGAAAATAATACGAATTGTTTAATAAGAGAGCACGTGAATAAATAAGCAATCGGATCAACTTTCTGTCTGTAAATGAAACCAAAATAACATTTTTAACTCTATAATTCCAAAATTCCTAATTTGCCTTGTGAACTTTCGAGTTTTTAATTTACTAATAAATACCATTATACTTAGCTGAAATAATGGTCTTTTTAAAAGTTTGCTACAATCGCTATAGCTGGGTAAAGTCATTTTATAACATTATCCAAGCACATAGTATTCTCTGCAAGGAGTCATGTTTAATTGTCTTATCTTTTGCTGGAGAAAAAGATTTCTGGGTGAGATCTGAAAAATGAACCTTGGAACCTTAGAATCCATACTTTTGATACCTATGTCATGTTATATGAACTTCCTTAAACCTTTTTTTTTTTGCCCAGAATGACTTGATTAGTGATTGTGTTTCTGTGAAGGTAAATATTCAGAAACTGTGATTTAAAAAAAAAAAAAAAAAAAAAAAAAAAACCAAACCTGAGTAAAACAGTAAAAGCTATCCACAAATCAACTTTATTTTTGGCCGTTCTAACATGTATATGTTTTGTGCACCATTTGAAATGATTACATTCCGTATCCCCATACCTTCTACTGCTTGTTATAAACTGTCAAATACTTTGGCTTTTGGGAAAACCCAGAAGTCACGCATCTGATCTGGCTTTAAAGAGACAAAACATTTACAGAATTTGTTTCTGGAAATTATCAGTTATCCTTGTAACAAGCCTGAACACCTAGTATGACTTGGTTGTTTAACATTATAAAAATTCTGTTGCGTTTTCCACTGGCTGTTGAACTTTACTCCTGAAATGGCTGGAGTCCACCTTGCTTGCCTGCTTGCTTACTTCCTGTCTCCACCTTTCGTTCCATCTTAAAGCTAATTAGGAAAAATCTGTTTATAAACAGTCCTTATATAAAATGATCTGTCACTAATGTCGTGTTTTACCAGAACCATCAGTTCATAGGAATATAAGCCCATTGCTTTCCTTAATTATTAGACTACATCTGAATCTTTAATCACTATTTCAATAGCCCAATAACTTACGTAGTCTAGATTTTTCACTTGGACATGGCTTCTTTTTGGACACGCTGTAAACCAATAGGACTGTGAGAGGAGAGTTGGCTGTGATGGTTCTGGACACCTTTAGGTAATAACTTCTTCTCCCTACTTTTCTCTCTGTCTCTGCTTTGCTCCTTTTCCTGAACCCGCTTTTGGCTTTCCTTCAACTGCTCCTCTGGCGCTCTTGTGTGTAAAACAATCACCTACATCCTAGTTATCCCCATTTGTCCTCGTTCAGCATCTTGCAGCCCCATCAACATCATGCCCTACAGAGCTGCACACTCTAGAAATCTGACAGAGCGACCCAAATTCTCGGTAACGCCACCGGAGGGCTCTGCGAGAAGGAGGACGGTTCCCGGCACCGCGGTGAGTAGCCGGTGGGAGCAGCCTGGCGAGTCTGTGCTGTTTCTGTGCAGAATGGACACCAGCTCCAGGTGCCCTGTGGGTGTCAGAGCGGGAGGTGCCCGCACGTGGGCGGTGGTGTCCCCACACTTCCTCTAGAAATGTGAGTTGGGCTCCCCCTAGAAATGTGAATTTGAGAATGAAAACTATTCTCTGTTCAAGTGTGTGCGTGCCCGGGGGCCTGTGTACGAATAAAGGTCACGCCAGCAAACTTTTTCATGTTTGCCAGTCAGAAAGCCCTGGAAGGGCATGTGAGCCTGGACGGCTGCCTCTGCCTTTTCTTACACCTTATCCAGAAGCTTGCTGAACTCTGAATGTGGTTCACCAAAAAAAGCAAAACAAAGCATTTTTGTCTGTCTAGCTTCTCTCTGTCAAGGCCCAAATCTTACAATATAGTAAGCAAGTATTTTGAAAACACTAGTGATTTGCTAGGTAACAAATTCTTGAAAGGCAGTTGGGCTGTGTCAGAGACTCGGATTTTGCAAGTGAAGAATATAACTTGTACTTGTGATTACCGGCAAGGTGGCTGAGCCAACGCAAGTTTTCACTGATAATGAATTTCGTGCCATAAATGCAGTGAGGTAACTTTTGTGTCTCTAAGCACCTTTCTTCTTCACACTGTGTGTTATTTGGTATCTGCTGAAAGAAGTAGATACTGTTGTGTGGTCTTCAGTCATTGTACTTACTCCTAAAGGACCAGAAGATCTCATTCCCATGGGAATACCGTGACCTGTTTAATGAAAGGCGGAACAATTTTTTTTTAATCTTAACTTCGCAGAGCAGTTCAGATTGAGGGTTGTGAGAGCTTGATGGCTTTTCCTATAGGCAGTTTTCTTCCAAGCCCCAGGTTTTCAGGAATCCGCGTTTAATTCCTGATTGAGTCAGACCTCCAGACCTCCAGCGCTGCAAGGAGGTCTTGCGAATGAAGCTTGAGGTGAAACTACCTTGGATGTCTGGGTAGTTGTTCATCATTAGCATGTTAGCCTCAGAAAGCCTAGCTGTGGATAAAAAGCCATAGTTAGAACAGCTTTGTCCCCAGAGGTTGGGGACTTCCTGGAGGGGGTGAGAAGCCCTTAGCAAAGGAAAAGCATCTTGTTATGGATAAAAACACAACCTAACATGCCAGGAGGGAAGGATCAGAGCAGACCCTTGGCCAACAGATTAAAGGAGAGGGATTTGTCATCACATGATTCAGAAGCTCCGCTTTCTCACCCATTTTAATTTTTTTTAATACCTTCCTCTTCTGTATTTGATTTATTGGTCATCTTTTCACCGCCTTACCAAATATTAAGGCAAATACCTGTTTCCGGAAGTGACTCACAATTCCCTTATACCCCAGAGCTGCCCCTTGGAGTTCAGCTGAACCACCAGCCACCAGTGGTTATGGAACACTTAAGAAGTGGCTAGTGGGGGGAAAAAAAAGAAAAAGTCACTAGTGAGAATACCAAAAAGAATTTTCAATTCCATTTCCTTTTTTTAAAAAAATGTTTAACTATAGTAAAAAAAAAAAAAAAAAGTAACAAAATTTACCATCTTAACTATTTTTAAGCATCCATTTCAGTAATGTTATGTCTATTCACATTGTTGTGCAGCCTATCCCCAGAACTAATTAAATCTTACAAAACTGAAACTATCCCCACTGAACAACAACTCCCCATGTCCTCCTCTCCCAGCCCCCGGCAACCCACCATTTTACTTTCTATTTCTTTGAATTTGACTACATTTAGACATGCCATATAAATAGAATCATTTGTCCTTTCGTGACTGGCTCGTGTCACTTTGTATAATGTCCTTAAGGTCTGTCCGCCCATGTTGTAGCATGTCACAGGATTTCTGTCCTTTTTAAGGCCAGTAATATCCCATTTTGTGTATGCATGCATGCGCATACACATGAACACACGCATACACATATACCAGATTTTGTTAATCCATTCATCTGCTGGTGGACATTTGAACTGCTTCTGCCTTTTGAATCTGAATAACACTATGATTAGCCCTGCTGTATATGTGGGTAGCAAATTATCTCTTCAAGGTCTTGCCTTCAGTCTTTTGGGATATATACCCAGAAGTGGGATTGTTGGGTTTTGTGGTAATTCTATTTTTAGTATTTTGGTGAACTGCCATGCCATACTGTTTTCCATAGCAAATGAACCATATTACTCATATTCCCACCAACAGTATAGAGGGGTTCCACTTCTTCCACATCCTCACCGACACTTGTTATTTTCTGGGGTTTTGTTTGTTCTGTAGTGGCCATCCTAATAGCGTGAGGCTCTGTCTGATTGTGATTTTGATTTGCGTTTCTCTAATGATCAGTGATGTTGAACATCTTTTATATATTTGTTGACCATTCCCATATCTCTTTTAGAGGAAAATCTATTCAAGTCCTTGGTCATTTTTTAATCTTGTTTTTTAATTTGTTTCATTTTAATTTTAATTTTTGAGTTGTAGCATATGTACATATTCTGGATATTATGTATTCTGGATACTAATCTCTTATCAGATATATGATTTGCAAGTATTTCTCTTATTCTGTAGTTTATTTCCTTACTCTTTTGATTGTATCCTTTGATGCACAAGAGTGTTTAAGTTTGATGCAGTTCCATTTGTGTATTTCTGCTTTTGTTGCCTGTGCTTTTGGTGTCATATCCAAGAAATCCTTCATTATCAAATCCAGTGTCATCAAGCTTCCTGTTTTTTGGCAGGAATTTTATAGTTTTAAGCACTATATTTAGGTCTCTAATCCATTTAGAGTTAGTTTCTGTTTACAGTGTAAGGTAAGGGTCCAGCTATATTCTTTGGCTTGTGGATATCCAGTTTTCCCAGCACCATTTGTTGAAGAGACTGTCTTTTTCCCCATCGAGTGGTCTTGGCACCCTTATTGAGGATCCTTTGACTGTGAACGTAAGGATTTATTTCTGGGATCTTGACTCCATTGGTCTCCATGTCTCTCTTCATGTCAGTACCACACTGTTTTGATTACTGTAGCTTTGTAGTATATTTTGAAATCAGGAAGCGACTGTGTTCTGACTTTGTTCTTTCTTTTCAAGATTGTTTTGTCTATTCAGGGTCCTTTGAAGTTCCATATGAATTTAGAATAGATACTTGTATTTATGCAAAAAATGACATTGGATTCTGATAGGGCTTGCTTAGAATCTGTAGGTCCTTGTGGGTAGTATTGACATTTTAACAATAAGTTTTCTAGTCTGTGAACACAGAATGTCTTCCCATTTGTGTTCTTTTCATTTCTTTTAGCAATGTCTTTTAGTTTTCAGTGTACACGTCTTCTGCCTTCTTGGTAAAGTTTATTCCTAAGGATTTAATTCTTTCTGATGCTATTATACGTAGAAATGTTTCCATAACTTTTTTCAATTTTATCTGATTTTAATTCATTTAGATCTAAACTCAAATGACCAAATATGGGTAGTGGTTAGCTTATTGGACAGCACAGATGTAGGACATTTCTGTTATCACAGAATGTTCTATTGGACAAGCAGGGTCTTGGAGTATTGGTCTATATTGTCTCTTTTGAGCATTATTTGTATTCTAACCCTAACTCTAATGGTAAAGTCAAAGTCTTTGTCCTGCTGGTCTGGTGTCCACTGACATGTGCACCTTGCTGTGTGTGTTCCACATTGACCTTGTGGAGAATGTTAATAGGAAAGATTATTGTACAGACCACTGGCTATTAACTCAGATCGGGGGAGGACGAGGAATGCCTTTACATGTGTGGTACCCAGACAGGTGATTGGGTGACAAGACCAGTGAAAAGACATCTGAAAGATCTAAGAGGGTAAAACCATCTACCTGCCTGAGGATGTCATCTCAAGTATTCAACATTTTTCTCAACCTCTCTTTGCCTTTTTCCCTACCTCTTTAAGGTGAATAAAGGGAGGGCAGTTTTAGAAAGAATTGGTTCAGTGGCACTCTAACATTTTTTTTTTATCCAAAAAGAAGGATTATACAGTTCTTGGTAGGTTCTTTCCCTCGATGCCTGTCTTATCAAGACACAGATGATGAAATTCATCCCTGTTTCCTCTGCATCACAAATTACCCTGAATTATTTTCCCATTCGGATCGCTCCTTAATTTGACTTCAGCCAAAGTAAAATGTTTTGAGAAAAAGGAAAAGAAAAGTTACTTGAGGTGCTTAATGCCAGCTTCCCTTGGGAAGAGCCCCAGGCCTTCCACTCTGGCGCTGATAGCTACAGACATGATTGCCACCCAGTATAGCAGCCGGAAGTTTCCCCGGTGCTGACTGCCACATCTGCCATCCAAGGACAACAACTGACTTCTGAGGCCTCACCTCCCACCTTCTGGGACCAGAAATCAGGGCAAAGGCTGGTCAGGCAGCCACAAGTGATACAGAACTGACACGCATCTTGTAAAGTTCTTCCCTGCCCCGGTTTTGTTCATTAGTTTTATTTAGAAATTCTGGGAAGACACTGAGTATTATTTGATACTCGTGTTTTCCCCCCACCTCTAGCCCAATCCATCAACTAGGATGCTACTAAGGAAAGTGGAGAGAAGCAATTAGAAGGGACCCTGAAGGGGAGTAAGAAGGAGGAAACAAAGAAAGGAAGAAGGGAATTAATGCTTGTCCCATGCAGGAAGGAGAGAAAAAGGGGACACTACCAGCTTCTTGGCCCTACAGCTAGATAAAATAAATGAAGTTCTGTCCCTTGCCTTCGACTCCCACAGTCTGCTTTCCTGCAAGGGTCGCATGGAGTGGGATACTGACAGGTGCTCATACACATGCCTCTGGTGAGCATCCAGTCCCATCCCAGGACCTTGTTGGCGTATTTTAGATATTTAGAATGAGTCTTTCTTGCTCTGTGCGGTTTGTTGTTGTTGTTGTTGTTGTCTTTTTTGTCGCAGTTGGCTATAGATTACCAAACAGTTCTGGGTTTCCTTTTGTTCATTTTGACTTAGAAAAGGTATCACCTCCCTGGCTGAATTTCTAGTGCACCATTAGAAGAGGAATGATGTTTTGACCCACTCTCCCTTTTCCATTTTATCACCAAAGAAGATTAAAAATAACTAAAATTCTTCACCTTGAACCTGACTTTTCCTTCAAAGGCCATTAGATGAGAAAGGAATTACTTATATAGTATCAGTATAAAGGGAAAAAAGGAATTAACCTCTGATGTAGCAGACACATAAATTTTTTTAAAAAGTAAGTCTTGAATATGTTATGTTCCAACATAGGAAAAAAAGTGCTGAAGAATTAAAATGGGGGGTGGGCAGGGAGAAATGGAAGTCACTTTTATTGTGATACTTGTCTGGGTTAAAAAAGATAATGAGAGAATTTGCCCCAGGTTATTGTAGGCACAAAGTAAGTATAGGTGCTTTCTAAGAGTATTAGTGTATTTTTTTTAACAAATGTAACTCCACCTCAGACATCCACAATTTTATTATCAGTGTCAGATGGTGTTAGTTCAGTTATATGGTTCAGGTTTGAGGTAACAAGGGCTTTTTGTGGCAGTGTAATGAATATAAATGACAAAGGCTGGAAATTTTCCAAAAAGCCACTTAGTGGGTTGCAGCTCCACTATTGATACTGTGAATGGGACTGTTCCACTCATAGCAAAATCTGATTATTGTGTTTCTCCAAACTTAGGGCTATAAAAGAGAGAAGGAGAGAGAAAACCTACCATTCCACTCCACATCTGGCATTCGGAGGGCACTGTCTCCATCTCATTCCAAAGCAAGATCACCAGCTCCCTCCCGACTTTGGTAAGTGAAATTTAAGAGGTTGGCTGGGTTGCCGCATGTTGAAGCATCTGTAGCTTCTGTTCTCTGAAAGCAAACTATTTATTCTCTCCCCACTGTTTGGCATTGACTTAGGGAATAACATTTTTCCTTGTAGGAAAGGAAAAAGGAAATAGGAGTGAGTCTCTAAAGTGAATTTTTCTCTGTTTGCTACATAAAAAAACAAACACATCAGCTTGGTATCTTCATTTCTTTTCCTTCCTGGTGCTGGCATGCTAGGACTATCACATGGTAGAGGAGTGGGGAAAGGAAGGGTCTGGCAGGCTGGCTCTGATGGCTCCATTCTCTTTCCCCGATGTGTTGCCCAGGTTGCCATCCAAATCCTTCCCTCATCTGCCTGGCACACCCAGACCAACCTCGTCCTTGCCTCCTGGATCAGTCAAAGCGGCCTCTGCTCAGGCCCGGCCCCCATCCCCTGGCAACATCCGCCCTGTCAAGAGAGAAGTCAGAGTGGAACCCGACAGGAAAGAGCCTGAGAAGGAATCCCAGAATGCTGCCAAAGAGCCATCACTTAAGGGCAGAACACCTTTAGTGAAGGTGGAAGAAGCCACAGTTGAAGAGGGGACACCTGCTGAGCCGGAAGCTGCTCCCGGTAAGGTTCATCTGCCTTATGATGCAGCGTGTGTTGCCTGCTCTTCCTGGGGGACTTAGACATTTCCTCGAAGGTTAACTTCAGGAGCTTTTCCCATATGCGATTTTTTTATGTATAAAGAAGGAACATCCGATCAAAAGCCTGTCATTGGAGGCACAGCACATTAATTCAGGTATGATTTATGAGACCTTCTATTGACTGAGTCCAGATTTTCACAGAACGTGGTGTTCAAAGCCCCCACATCAGGATTGCTTGTATTAGTTATCTCTACTGCTGTGTAACAAATCAGCCTAAAACTTTGAAGCTCATATAAACAGTTATTATATCACACAGATTCTTGGGTCAGGAGTTTGGAAGCAGGTTAGCTGGGTGGTTGGACGATGGCGCACACATATGGCAGAGCTCCATTTCCTAGCACACGAACCTTTCTGTGGGGCTGCTTTATGTCCTCACAGTCTCTCTGCTGGACTCGCTTACTGGATTTCCCCAGAAAGCGTGATCTGCGAGAGAGCCTCACGAGCATTCCACACCTTTTATGCCTGGTCTCAGAAGTCATACACTCAGAAGTCACAATTTCTTCATAGTCAATTCATCAGAAGCAAGTGACTACATTCAACTCATACTCAAATGAAGGGGATTAGTCTCGCCCTTTTACAGTGAAGATCTTCAAAGGGTTTATGGAAATAGTTTTAATTCACCATTTCTGTAATGTTTCAAAGGACAGAGCCCTGGCTCTGTCTTAGATCTACTGAATCCAAGTATGTGGTAGACCCGGGGACCCTGAAAGACAACAAGCTCATCAGTCAAGTCCTGTGCGGGAATGTCAGATAAAATACAGAATGGCCAGTTATACCCTGTGTGTAGTGGAGCCCAAGGACCACTGACTAGCCTCTGGTGCTTGACGGAGGTCAGAACTCATTTCAGAAGACCCAGTGGATCTCATCTCTGCCAGACTAAACCAGATGTTTAGCCAGAAACTTAGAATCACCTGAAACCAGGAATTCAATATTTTTTATTGAAAGTTGTCTTCATTCAAAAGTTTTCTCCTTACGGCTTAATTTGAAGATGGGGTAGGGACAAAGAGATAATAGATAACTCAGACAAGTGACAATGTTGTTTGACAGTGGAAGGGTCCAATATTTGTTTGCATGGAAAGAGAGAGAAGAGAAAGGCTGAAAAGTGTCCCGGGGGCAGAGTAGAATGTGTTAATCTTGAAGGGAGGGTCTAGAATACCAGAGATCACACCTCCCAGTGGAGCATCTCTGTGGGACTCCTGGCCTTCTAGTGTGGCTCTCTGGGCCATTTCCTCAGTGTGGATCAGGTCAGAGGACTTGTACTGCCATCTTGCATCTTGGCATCAAGACGGACAGGGGAGGCCCAAAAGGGTAAGGAATATGAGCGCTGGCTCCTGAAGACGACCTAGGCTCATCCCGTCTCAGACCTAGAGACAGCTCTGGGTAGACAAAAGGGACTTCTTCATCTTCATCGGGTGTCATCTTCCCAGCCTGAATCTGGGCTCGTGGCTGGGACCCTGAGGATGGTCGTAGAAAGGCTTTGGTCTGCTAATAGCAAATAGTCACTAAAGAGAAGGAATTTTTTAAATGTAATGAAAGACAAATGGAAGATTTCATCTTCTTTTTGTTCAGAGTATAACTTCCCACAGAACCTAACGTGAGGCTCCGTACTGAGTACACATTTGATATATGTTGTTAACTGATTAACTTGTATAAAAATAGGAGCCGGTGACAGAGTGTCAGCTTTGTTGGATGTCTCCCTTACACATGCACCTTTTTGTATCTGTTGCCTGGTTACAAGCAGAATACAGTGAAACCGTGAGAACACCCAGTAATAAACATTCCCTTTTCTCTTATAATGATGAATTCTAGGCCTGGGGTGTGGGGAATGCTAGTTTTTGTTTTGTTCTTTGGGTTTTGTTTCCAACTGGTTTTCTCCTTGTACCTGTTTGTACAGCTGCTTCAGCCCCAGCCTCGGCTCCAGCATTGGCCCCCACTCCAGCGCCGACCCCAGGCCCAGCCCCAGCCTCGCCATCCACTGTGACTGCCGCCACTTCCCCCAAGACCTCCGCAGGCACCACTGACCCAGAAGAGGCCACAAGGCTGCTAGCTGAGAAGAGACGGCTGGCCCGAGAGCAGAGAGAGAAGGAGGAAAGGGAGAAGAGGGAGAGGGAAGAGCTGGAAAGGTAAAGCAGTGACATTGTTCAATGAGCAGGGACATCCTAGGGATACCTTGGATTAAGTCTTTAGTCTGAGAGACAGGAGCTGGTAGTAGTGATGAAGGTGAATGGACTAGTTGCTTCAGAGTCATGCCTCTGATCACTAAGTGATTTTTTTTTTAAATCACATTTTCTTGCTCTGATGACAGTATAACAACATTGATGGAGAAAGGTTTATAGAAAGAAAAAAAGCTATACATAGTCTTACCAGTTTTCAGTCATTGGCAAAGTGGATTTTGGGTCATCCTTTCTAGTCTCTGAACACAATAGGGGTTTATAGACATACATAAATATGTACACACACACACCTATTTACATAATTATAGCCACAGTATCACAAAAGAGACGTACAATTGTACAGTCTGATTTTTTTTTTACTGAACATATTTCTAATCTCCATATATCCTCATTATCTTTCTAATAATCCTTTTAAAGCCACAAACTAGAAGCTTGTGTTTTCCTCCTAAGAGAACTCTCAGGGAGTAGCTGGGTGAGATAATTCAGTGCCCCATGACTGCCTGCTGGGCCGGATGGGAGGGACCCTTGGCTTAGTCGGCCTCCTCCTCCAGCTAATACAACCAAAGCCAAAGACATTGTTCTTCAGACAAGCAGAGCTGCATCTTGGGGGAGGACCGCAGCCCCAGTGCCAGGCAGCAACTCTGGACACACTTGATCACAGCAGGGAGCTTACGTGGTCTGTCTTGTCCTGCCCTGTTAACGGAACATTGTAACCTTTATTAATTTACAAAGACTTCCGGGGGTTGGGGGTGGGGGGGGCGAATGTTCAAACTCGTTGCTAAACTGTCCCATTATTGGATAAAACTAGTCTGAGCCTTTAAGGGTAGTTCGGTTGCACATCCTTTCCCAAGACAGGCTCTCCTCAAAGCATTAGTGCTTGCACGTTCCTTCTGTTTACCACGAGGCAGCGCGAGGCTGGGGAAATGGGGGAGGAAGAATAGAGGGTCGCTCCTCCTCTTGGACCCCGAGCCATGCTGTGAGCGCATCGGGGAGGTTTTCCCTCCAGCCCTCAGGCCCCAACCACCAACTCCAGCCTTTCTTCAGGGAGCGCACCCCGGTATATCTCTGCTTTGCGTGTGTCTTTTTCCAGACAAAAGAGAGAGGAGCTGGCGCAGAAGGTGGCGGAGGAGCGGGCGCGGCGCGAGGAGGAGTCCCGCCGGCTGGAGGCCGAGCAGGCCCGGGAGAGGGAAGAGCAGCGGGAAGAGCAGCTGCGACGGCAGGCGGAGGAGCGCGAGAGGCGCGAGCGCGAGGACCAGGAGCGCGCCCAGAAGCAGGTAGGGGAACCCCCCTCCCCCCACCCAGACTGGGCCTGGGTCCGCGCAGAGGAGCAGAGGAGAGCGCCGGGCGTGCGGGACGAGTCCCTGCAGCAGGGGGTGTGTGTGTGTGAGTCCCGCACCTGCTCTGAGGCCCCGGTGCCTCCGCCTCCCGGCACCCCTTCCCGCCTGAAGCACAGGCCCACTTCCTGTTTCCAGAAGGAAGAAGAAGCTCGCCTTCGTGAGGAAGCAGAGAGGGTTCGGCAGGAGCGAGAGAAGCATTTCCAGAGAGAAGAGCAGGAGCGCCTGGAAAGAAAAAAGGTGATTGTGTCTAGAACAGAAGCCTGGGGTGCTCATTGTCCCCATTCTTCCCCAGCCTTGAAGCCCCAAGACCAGGAGACTAGCTCACCGCTCTCAGAAAGCAAACGCGCTCTGCGCATTCCAGAGAAACTGAAGTCGCTCGGGGTATTAATCATCATCTCCAAAGAAATCTGTCCGCACGGTGCGGACCGCACCAAAAACCGTTCCTTCCGCGGTTCATGTGGCTTAAGTCAATTCCAGCCTTGATATGAATAATGCCCATTAAAAGGGAGCAGTGGGCATTATAATTGTCCAAAGTAACAGAGGTGTTCGGATGACCCATCTGCTTAGTGAAATGTGCCAGGCTTGCCTTCTTTGCCTATATGACCCCTTTGCTCAGTTCTAATTTCGGGGGTGTCTGGGTGGCTCAGCCTTTGGGTGTCTGCCTTCTGCTCAGGTCATGATCCCAGGGTTCTGGGATCCAGCCCCGCATTGAGCTCCCTGCTCAGCAGGAAGCCTGCTTCTCCCTCTCCCACTCTCCCTGCTTGTGTTCCCTCTCTCGCTGTATCTCTCTCTGTCAAATAAATAAATAAAATCTTTAAAAAAAAAATTCTCCCTTTCTCGTAGCGACTTGAGGAGATTATGAAAAGAACAAGGAGAACAGAAGCTACAGATAAGGTACTGAGGAGGCCATTTTTAAACTATTCTTAATGTTGTTATTTTTTTTTTTCTTTACTTTCACTTGCAACTTTAACATTAAGAATCTTTTTTTCCTCTCTTTTTTTTTTTGGTAGAAAACTGTTGATCAGAGAAATGGAGATATAACCAAGGGAGTTCTCACTGGAGGAACAGGTATTTATTTCAGTGAATTCAAACAAATTCAATTGTAGAATTTTTGGATTAACTGTCTAGAGATGAAGATGTTCATTGATTCGGGGGAAAAAAGTACTCATTGACTTACAGAAGCTTAGGTATATGTCTGTAGATTTTCCCCTTATGTAAAACTCTCACACTTCTAGAAGATGTTTTTTCACATTTGTTTATACTCTAATAGTGTGCTTAATATTTTAAATCATGTTATATTACAAATATCCACATGTGTGGATATATGTTTGTATATATCTGTGTGTATATAGATACATGCCTATACAGAGAGATAATAGACACATATAAATATTTATACACACATGATTAGAAGAATTTTGTGTTATAAAATTAAATTTCATTTATCATTTATTGTCTGCTAAAGTAGCATGTATTTATATTTGCTCTTAAGGACTCTAAACTTGCACATTTGACAACTCGTATGTATGGCAGTTCTCACAAAAGAATTTATACCTTTTTAACTTTTGACTTCAGAGTAGAGTTAAAATTAGAAATTAGTTGAGATTTTGTTGGAAAGTTGTTGATACCTCTAGGCTTTGGACAGAGATAATTAATATCTTGGTGATTTTAAACCAAATTTGCTTGAAATAAAATTTACCCAAATATAATACCCAAAAATAATACCCAAATATAAAAAAAATACAAATGCATTAGTACCCAAATTCAATTAATGTTCATTAAATGGTCTCTCTGTGTCAGGTACCACCTGCATACATTTTCTTCTTTAATTTCCGCTGCAGCCTGTGGGGTAGAAGTGGTTTATCTTGAAGTCAGCAAGCATTTTCGGAGACCTGCCAGTGCCAGGCCTTGTTGCAGGCTCTGGGATTCAGTGTGAACAGGCCAGGCTAGGTCCCTTCCCCCCGAGGAATAATTCATTCGAGTGGCAGGCCGAGCTCATGCACTGGAATCCAACCTTATGATTGTTCTACGATCCCCCATGGTCTTCACGATCGTACGTACAGGTGGTTGGTACGCAGCTCATCACACACTTCCTCTTTCCTCACTTACAGTATCAATGTGACAAGAAAGAACCAAAGATACCTCACTTCCCTTGGCTGTTTTTTTCTTGTAAGACTAGGGATCAAATGAAATGATCTATGTGAAAAAAAATTTTTCTGTAAACTCTAGAGGCTTTCAAAAGTTAATATGTTGGTGTCTTGGGATTTGGTTTTATTTCAGCAGAAGCTATCCCGAGTTTCTCAATGTCGTGATCCCTTCTTAGTGAGCTTTCCATGCTTTTTTCAAGATGCCCTAATTATATTTGCTCAGAGAATAACCCCAATGGTTGCCTGTTAACCCCATTGCATTTTTAATAGGTTGTCTCCACAAATGTCATAATTCATGGAGACTTTACGCAGGCACGACCCTCCATGAGTCAGAATGAGCATTTTAGGGTGTAAATTGCACGAGTACGGGGGTTTTTTGAGTGTAGTTAGCGCAGGGCCGGGTTTGTTTGTTTGTTTTTCCATCTTTCCCCCCTCAATTCTTCCAATATTCTTTCTACCTCAGCCTGAGAACCAACAAAACTAAAAGGGAAGGTGCAACTTTTCAGTCATCATATCTGTGTTTATCAACACTCATAATAAATCTAGTTTGAGTTAATACTGCTAAAAGGAGGCCTGAGGGATTATCTAACAAATATTCCTCTTTTCCCTGTTGCATGTGTGGTTGAGGGCTAAATAGTTTTACTAGTGCTCCAAAGAGAATTCTAGGGCAGGCAGACAGCCGAGCTCACAGACCTATCAGAAATCTCCAAGGCTGCCTATTACCAAATTTGTGTAATCACAAAATTGTGAATTTTGGCTCCCTTAATAAAGTTATTAATCACTTCAGTTATCAGACTCTCTGGACCTCTGGCAGCTTTAGTGCATTTGTGCCAGGCTATGAAATAACACTTCCTTGGAATTATGTTTCAGCTATTTCTTCATGTCGAGCTGAAACCATAAACTGCCACAGATTTCCCTGAAACTCTAATCAGTATGAAGGTTTACAGGACTTTAAGTAACCCTGGCTTAGATTTTGGAGTATGTCGTCAATATTGTTGGCATAAGCTGGACTACATCACTGAGCACTGAACGACAAGGTGGCTTGGTAAAGTACAATTCACTGGCCTTCCATTCATGAAATCCTTTTCATTCTAAGTGTGACTAGAAGTAAACTGAGTTTAAAAATTATTTTTTATCACTTAAGGTAGGTCATGGTGATTTGCTCTAAATTCTTTAGAAGATACTCACCATCAGCCTAATCAGGTCAGCTTACTGCTGTCTTCATCAGTTGCTTTGGTTTCAACATTACATACTTTTTGTCCACAGTCAATTTAGCACAAACAAAAATAGTAACAACACTGATTTCCAGCCTTACACGGTTCTAAATACTTTGCATATGTTAATACATTTAATTCTCCCCATGGCTTATGAGGTAGGTATTCTTATTCATGAGGAAACTGAGGCACAGAGAGTTTGTGGCCTGCCCAAGGTCACACAGCCGGTAAGCAGCAGAGCCAGGTCATAAATCTAGGCATCCTGGGTCCTCAGGTTTAGGGTTGATACTAGAGCCATAGTAACCATTTGTCCCATCTTCTTTGCTGTGTCCAGTGGTATCTGCACTTCCGTGTATGACAAACTCTCCAGGAAATGGAGAACCAGTGGCCAGCCCACATGCGGTTACCTCACACCAATCGACGACAGTGACTGTGGAGAGGTGAGTTAAACAACTGGGCCCTTTTTCCTGATATACATGAGAGCAAAGTGCTAACCCCATCAGAACTTCTTAAGCCTGACAGAATTTCAAAGTTTTAACATCAAGATTTATTTTCCTTTGTGTCCATTAATGTTTGGTAGAGCTAGTAATTCTGTAGTCAAAGAAAGGGAAAATGTTTTTTTTTCTTGAGTCTTTAAATATGATAGTTAGGTTTTTGTATGCCTATTAAAGAAAATTACAGGGAAGCATTTTATTTGTATATATTTAACATGATCTAGACCATATTCACACCCTTTAATAGCATATTTTCACCATACGTTATATTCTCGTCTGTCACAAGTTTGCTCTACAGTAAAATAATTTGGATGCCAGTATTTCTTATATTGGTAGTAAGGCTTCTTATTGAAGAAACAAACAGTTGCTAACAACAGTCAAGAAAGAAGTGTGGGCTGAAAAAAGATTGCCTTTCTCTTCTTTGGTGTTTATATTGACAACATCCTAAGAACACTGTCAAAAATTAAAAAATCAGATTAATCCTAGCCTGTGCCTAAAACTCCAGGCATAAAGGTCTTTAAGAAATATTTGTAATACTGTTAAAAAAAAATTCAGCTATGACTTTTTTTCCAATTTACTTAATTCTTTTATGTTTTCCTGTTTCTAATGCCAGGTGTTTGCTAACATCAGAGAATTAAAGGTCCTCAAATTAACTTTTTTCTTAGTCTAAAAACACACACTGCACAGTGTTTTACAATATTGGCCGCGATGCAAAGATAAGTCCTTCTAAGATGTCCATAAGTCATAAGACATCCATTGATATCTTTCTAGGACAGTAAAATCTTTTATTTTTCCCACTGTAATACCAAAGAAAAGAATTTTCCTGAGAGAGAGCTTATTAATAAGCTTTCAACCATGTTGAATAAATTTATTATCTTCACTAAGATATATATTAAGTGATATTTTACGCTTTTAGTTAGATTTTCAAATAAAGTTTTCATCCCCAACTGCTATAATTTATGATCTTAAATTCACTGACTTCAAAAAAAAAGAGACTTTTATGAAAGAATAAAAAGTATCACAGAGAGAACCCCATTACTATAAGGACCAGGTTTATTAAACCGCTGATAATTTTATCTGATCAATAACATTAGTTTACATTAGCTGACTTTTTTCAGTGGTAAAATCATCAAGTAGTTAATCATTGCCTGAAACATAATTTTACTCTGTGAAATGAGATGGTAAAGTTCTATTTCTGATCATTGATTTCACCCATTGCTTTTCTCTATTTAACCCACCTTCAGACCTCAAATCTCTTTTCATAAAGTGTATCATGAGATCACTTGGCTTTTACTTGGCACTGACACAGTATTTGTGTACCCAGTTCAACCTAGTTCATTTGTCATCAGCCCTTGCCACGTAAGCTCTGAAATACGAATGTAAAATGAAACACTAAATCATGTGGCGAAACTCAGCTTTATGGTAAACTGCCGTGTAGGTGATGAGACTGTTCTATTGGAGTTTGGTTTTTTGTTTTTGTTTTTGTTTTTTTTTCAATTTTTATCAGAATGAAAACATAAATTTGTGAAGTTCATCTAGAGCATTGCATCCCATTTTGAGAAACACAATGCATTTCTGAATGATCCTGGCCTCTAGGGATTGTTTAATGCGGTGTTCTGTTTGTTCCCCATGGCATGATACATGGTTTGTGATTATGTAGCCCAAGAACCCCTGCTTCCCTCAATTATTTCTAAATTTATCTTCCTTGAATTTATCCACACCAATCTTAAAACAGCGTATACCTCCACTTAGCATCATCTCTTTAGTAACAAAAATAAGTGTTTTTTTATTTTTCTTATGCCTACTTATTTGCAGTTCCAAAATTAAAACCCGTGGTTGTAAGAAACTAGGTTTTAGGGGATAAGTCCTTTCTCACAATTTCCATACCTTTTGTAAATTTATAGATTTTATTTCTGTTCTCTTTGTGCTTTCATCTGATAAAGCGAGTAGTCCTCTTAAGCTTAGTCTGTCAGTCAGGGTCTAATCAGGAGAGAAAAACCAGGCAAATTAATTTGAACAGGAAAGTTTAACTTCAAGAATAATTAACTCTTACTTGGGATGAAAGTAACAACAGATTGCTAGTAAGAAGTGAAGAGAACTCCAGAATACGGTCTAAGGTGTGGCCACATCTCTGAGCCATACCCAAGCAAGAGTGCCCTTCCCCAGGCTTCCATCCAGACCCTGTTGGTGAGGGTATGGCTGTGACCCACTGGATGGTGGACAAGTTCTTTTATGAAAGAAACTTGGTGGTGGAACTTGCCAGATATCTACCCTCTAGAATGCTTAGGAGAACTGTTCACAAGGAGGTGTCTCAGTTCTGCCACACGTTGGCTCTGGCAAGGTGCTGGGGCAGCTGCTTCTGCTGCAGGGGCTGGTGCTGTGCCAGCCTCACGCGCACCAAGAGCTGGACACTGGGAATGCCACGAGGGTGTGCTGCAGGGGCCCGCTGAGCAAGCACAGCCACCACAACAGGAAGCAGAATTTTCCTCATGCCATGTCTCTCCAGCAGCCTTAAAGGACAAACCTCAAAGATTGTGCCAGCTGGCAAAGGACGATTATTTAATTTATTCCAGTTTCAGAGCAAGACTGAAGGTTGAATTTGGAGCTGAAAGGCCAAAAAAAAAGAAAAAGGAAAGAAAAGTAAAGAAAAACCCAAACGTGACAGGCTCACCTTACCTTTAAAAAGGCTCCTTCTCCAGCTCTTTGTCATTTTAGTTGTATTTTCTGAAGATTCTTCAGCACGAGCATGAGGTTGAGGAAGAAGAGCTTTAGAACCAAAAGTCCCAGGCTGGATTCCTAGTATTACTTCGAGAAATTCAGTGACTCTGGGATTAACCTACTTAAGTAAGATTTAGTTTTGTCGTCTGGACCTGAAGAGTCTTTCCCCAGGGTACCAAACAGTCCAGTGAGATATTGTCTGTGAAGGAGCTCTGAAAACTATGTTGTACTCTGCAAATGTTAGATGTTATTCCTCTTTGTCCTTCTAAGGTGCAGTGTCCAGAAGACGTAGCATGCTGGTGTAGCTGCAGTGTGGTATTACAGGAAAGTGCTTTTATGTTGTATCTGATGTCCCATCTTCTCCTGCCCTGCATTTTATTGGCTTCTTCTTTAACCATAAAAACATGAGGAATCACTGTTACCTGGATCCATTTTCCGGTGACTGGCAGATCTCTCACGTCTGTTGTCCCTGAGAGCTCTTCATCTTCTGAGGATGGTTCCGCTTACAGTGGTTCTCTAAACCCACTGCCCTTTCCATCCCTGACATTTTGACGATTTTTGCCCATTATCTTCAAGGGTTGCGTTTCCCAGAATAATCATTATCTGGATACTTAAATTTTTCCTCCTGCTTGTCTTCCAGATTATTATAACCTGCTGTTAGCCCGGACCCCTGAGGCTATCTGCCACTCATACTCTTTCCACCGGGAGAAGGACCACTACTAACCTTTCATACCCTTCCCTAAGATGGTTTCCTGTTCACATTCCCTTTGCTTCAGCGGGGACTCACAGTTTTACTTTTGGAAGCCTGTGAAAGATTTTTCAAGTGACAAATAAATGGCATCCACGGATGTTCCCTTTATCCTAGTTTCAAGCCGATCTTGGTACCACTTACCAAGTCGTTTTTTACCTCAGTGTGTTATGGCTAGTGAAACATTCCATAATCCTCGTCATCAGTTCACATGTTTATTAAATACCCTACCACGCCCCCAAAGTAGAGGCATAGATCCCTCCAGCCTGCTTACTGGGAGTTGAGTCATGGATTGGAGGTCCCCAGGGTCCCTTCTGAAGACCGTGAGATGGGTGGTCCCCTGTGGAAATCCACCATGGCGAATGCTGTCTGCACGCGGCAGGGTGTTTTCACTAGAAAACACCACTCCAAAGAATGAATACTTTTAGTTCGGAATTGGAGAAGTGAACTTTCCCTAATGCTTCAGCTATCTAATACATTGGTTTGCCTTGCCTTCAGGAAAAATTGCCGTGAACTTGGAGACATTCTCCCCCCACCCACCCCTGGGGCGATGTCAGAGCGTCCTCCTAGTATTTTCTAGCAGCGAGGTGGAGCAGCAGTTCCTGGTGTAGAGAAACCCTACACCAGTACCACCCTGAACCTGACTTCAGCCCTGAGGGGCCTGAGTGACGTAGCTGGCCCCTGTGGTTTCTAGTGTTCTCAGTCTTTTGTGTGCAATGCCTTTTAAAGCCTGAAAGCAAGTCGTCTTGCCCTGCTGACAGTAGATAGACTGAAGAGGGTTGGAGTTACCAGAAGTCTGGCCAGCTTTTATAGGTGCAAAGAAATATATGAGCTTGGCCAAGATGATTTCTTACTAAGGAACCATTTGGGGTTCCTGAGAATGAGTATTTGTAGAGGGAGGAGCCCATAGAATGGAGGAGAATGTTTATTTGTGGATAAGAAACTTGCTTTGAAACAAGAAACAGAGAACACAGATGAATGTGTGAGTACAAATGTGTGTGGGGTGTGGAGAAAGGAAGACATTATTTTAAGTTTCTCAGGTCATTCTGATACAGTCTCCCACCCCCAGCAGAAAATCTGTTCTAGAAACTGAAAACTTCTCCTGGGCTATTGTCCTACCCTGCTAATACCCAGGAGACATTTCATGCCTGTTCTTTGCCCCAGGCTAAGATCCTTCACTCTTAAGGGATATGTAGTAATTTTGGGGTATGTTTTTTTTTTTAATATTTTATTTATTTATTTGACACAGAGAGAGAGAGATCATAAGTATGCAGAGAGACAGGCTGGGGGGTGGGGGGTGGGAAGCAGGCTCCCTGCTGAGCAGAGATCCCCATGCAGGGCTTGATCCCAGGACCCTGAGATCATGACCTGAGCTGAAGGCAGAGGCCTAACCCACTGAGCCACCCAGGCACCCCGTAATTTTGGTTTTTGACCTTGCGGTTTTCCTTCAAACTATAGGAGTTTATTATTGTTTTTAGTTTGTCCTAAAGGAAAATAACATTCCCAAGCCCCTACCATTCAAACAGAAAGAGAGGTATCACTTTTAATTTTAAAGTTACTTGTAAAATAAATAATTTTTAAAAATTTTAAATAACAATAAATAACTTGCTATACCATGATAATAAATATCAAGAAAGAATTAGGTCCTGGCTATAGCAAGACATATGGACTGTCAGATTCCCACCATGATCCCAGCTCCTTCCCCAGGTAGATTTTATTTTTCATTTTGTTTTTTAAGTAATCTCTACACCCAATGTGGAGCTAGAACTGATGATCCTGAGTTCAAGAGTTGCATGCTCCTCCCACTGAGTCAGCCAGGTGCAACCCTAGGTAGATTTTAGCAAGCAAAGGGCACAGTTTTGAAGATGCTTGCATCCAGCTTCAGCTGCCAGAGTATAGCCAAAGAAAAGGACTTCAAAAGCTGGTGTTCTTACCCTAAGAGGACACACAGATGATATTCCCTAATCCCAGTGACTTCAGTTTCAGTTTTATAGTTTCTGCCAGTCACAGTGTCTTCTGAACATCTAATAATTGGCCATCCAAAGGTATAGCACAATTACTCCTCTAATTGCTAGCAAGAAAGAATGGGTGGAGAGGTCAGGTAGGAGTGGGAGGGGAAAATGAAGTCAGCTGTTGACTCAAGTCTGGGTTGGCATAGCCATTAAAACTTGTTAGCACATGCAAGCCTGGAAGGTGAGGGCAGTTGAGGTGGCCAAAAAACGGGACTTGGAAATGCATTCCTCTTCTTTACCTTTTGCTGAAACTTCTCCTGAAAATCACTTTAGGATAAGAATCAAAACCATTTCCCTGGTTACAGAAAGCCCATCAATGTTTGGAAAGAACCAGGACGGTGGGGGGCACCTGGGTGGCTCAGTCGGTTAAGCATCTGCCTTTAGCTCAGGTCATGATCCCAGGATTTGGGGATCCAGCCCCTCATTGGGCTCCCTGCTCAGCGGGAAGTCTGCTGCTGCCTCTACCCCTGACCCCTGCTCATGATCTCTCTCTCTCATGCTCTCTCTCTTTCTCAAATAAATAAATCTTTAAAGGAAAAAAAAAAAAAAAAAAAGACCCAAGAGGATGGGTTTGGTGACTGGTCCAAGCACCTAGAGCAGCGGGTGTTGGGTGAGCCGTGGGTGTCGGGCGTGCACACACACGCCTTCTGAATCACTACTGTGATGCCAAGCCTTCTTGGTGAAATAGCAGAAAACCACCATCATGCTCTGAGTTTGTATACTGTTTTTATGTTATTTTTCACAGACTTTTACAAATAATACTTTCAATGTACCCTGCAGTACCTTGTGAGGCATTTAGGACAGATATTTTTTGTCCCTAGAAGAAAAGGTCTATAATTTTATGTATTTATTTGACAGAGAATGAGAGGGAGAGAGAGAACACAAGCAGGCAGAGCAGCAGGAGGAGGGAGAGGAGAAGCAGGCTCCCCACTGAGCAGAGAGCCCGAAGTGGGGTTTGATCTCAGGACCCTGGGATCATGACCTAAGCTGAAGGCAGACGCTTAACCAACCGAGCCACCCAGGCACCCAAGAGAAGTTTTTGGCTTTGTTGTTGTTGTTGTTGTTGTTGTTGTTTATTGTTGTTTTTAAGATTTTATTTATTTATTTGACAGAGAGATCACAAGTAGGCAGAGAGGCAGGCAGAGAGAGGGAACCAGGCTTCCCACTGAGCAGAGAGCCTGATGCAGGGAGCTCGATCCCAGGACTCTGAGACCATGACCTGAGCCAAAGGCAGAGGCTTAATCCACTGAGCCACCCAGGCACCCCGAAAAGTTTTAATTAACAAAAATATACCAAAATATCTAAATCAGAAGTGCTTTAGAATGTGTTCCGAAAGTCATTATTTCTTGCAAATTAGGTAAACTATTTCCTCAACAGGGTAAAAAAGCAGATTCCTCAAAATAAACAAAAAGCAATGGAAAAACTGGATGCATATTAGCTTTTTGTTACCATTTGGGAAGGAGACAGAAAAAGATGAATTGAGTTGCTAAAGTTCAAGCAGTTGGCATTGTACTACAGACCTGATTTTCTATCTCTAGCCTCTTTCCATAGACCTTCCTATACTTAAACATTCCTATAGTTAAACATGAGTATGAAATAAAATCTTTAAAAAAAAAAAAAAAGGGCGGGAGGGCACCTGGGTGGCTCAGGTCATGATCCCAGGATACTGGGATCGAGCCCCACATCAGGCTCTCTGCTCAGCAGGGAGCCAGCTTCCCTTCCTCTCTCTCTGCCTGCCTCTCTGCCTACTTGTGATCTCTCTCTGTCAAATAAATAAATAAAATCTTAAAAAAAAAAATGAGTATGTATTAGAAGTTAAGACCTTCACAATTTTTGTCTCATATGGTTAGTCTTTTCCATTTGGAAAATTTAACTCTAGAATTTTGTCAAATAGGGTATTTTGTTTTTTTGATACATGAGCTGAGCACTGAACAAAATACGAAGCTTGTAAATATATGCTTATTGCAGCATTCCGATAAAGTGAACAATCTAGCATTCATTTGTAGAGGCATTGTTTCTGCTGCCTTGTAAAGCAGAATAATGAACATATATAAGGCTTTCAATTTGGTTATGGAGCTTCTAAAGAGAGGAAAAAACCTAAGAGGAACTGTAGATAGAAAATTAAGGATTTGGTGGCCAAAAATAAATCCAAGATATTGAGCATGAATTAATGAAAAAGTAAGGTGGGGTCAGAGGCAGATTTAAGGGGTAAAGATAAGGTTGGTCTTAAACAATATACCTGTAAAAAATTTGCACGTAATTTAAGAAGCCAGAGGTACCTAGGAAGGGCTAGCATCCGAATAGCCAGGTATGTACAAAATGGCATAATGAGCAGAACACAGGACCAGAGATCGGAAGATCATACATTCAGTTTGAACTATATGTGTCAGTCACTCTATGACTCTACAGATTATCCCCCATTCCCCCGAATTTCAATCCCCTCATCTTTGAAGTAAAGGACCTGATATGGGCTACTGGTTATCAAACAAAAGGTGTGTGAAAATGCCTGTGGTACAGATTGTTATGTGTGTGTTGACAACGATGATCTATTCTGATAAATGGTTCCATCTGGTAAATTTTTTACAACAAAAATGGATTTTTAAAAATAGAGTAAAATTGCAAATATGTCAAAATTCAACATTTTTGTGAATGATGTGGTCCGTCAGTGTTAACATTTGATTCTAAAATTCTAAAATGATTTAATACAAAACAGTTTCCAGTTGTTTTAAAAATGTTTTTTTCCAGCTTTAATGCTAACTCCTTTCAATTTTGACTTTTCAATTTCCCTAGTACTCCCAATTTGGAAAAACAGCCAAGTGAAAATGGAGTATCTGTTCAGAATGAAAATTTTGAGGAAATTATAAACTTACCCATTGGATCTAAACCATCCAGATTAGATGTCACCAACAGTGAGAGCCCAGAAATTCCTTTGAATCCAATTCTGGCCTTTGATGATGAAGGGACACTTGGGCCCCTGCCTCAGGTAGACGGTGTTCAAACACAACAGACAGCAGGTAAGCTTGCCTCGAGCTCCCTTCAGTAGCCTTCACAAATATGTGACACCACCTGAGGGAACAAACCTTATGCAGTGTGACTAGGGCAGCTTTGTTCTTCTAGGGACCACATGGAAAAGATTGTGTAAGGATCATAGAATTTGAATTTTGAATTGCATTGGGCAAATTCTGAGGCCCGTCCTGTTCCCCCAACTGGGTGTACAAATCCAGTCGGCATCACCAGCTGGGTGTCCATCACCTTCTCCTCACAGAGCAGTCCTCACTGCTCAGAAACACTCACTGTCAGAACAGGCGTCCTATAAAGACAAGCACTTAATGCCTCACCATAATGCAGGGACCTCGGGCCCAGTTCTGCCCCCTGGTGTTTGTTCCATCTTTCCAGCCCTTCAGATGTATGAAGACTGCCATCACATTCTCCCATTTTTCTCTTGTCCTGGTTTTTTAGCAGCTTAGATGATACGCCATTGTCCTTTTTAAATGTAATAAGTTGGAATTAGATCATGGGACCCATATTCAGAACTACAAGCATATGAACCCAGTGGTGGTCTGTCCTCCGTGGAGTGAGTGTTGCTGTTGTTGAAACGACCAGCGGCTCTCTGGGACTCATCCTTGACATGAAGTCTTTGTGCAAAAAGAACAATAGCTTTGTGTGACCCAGAGAAATAAGGAACAACATCGAAAGTTACCAACTCAAGGGTCACTAGCAGCTCAACAGCACGATCTCATCAGTCTCCGACATGAGTGGAAGAATGTCAGCTCTGGCTCTTCTCAAACCTCTCTGAGTTCTGTCAAGTTTCTCTTCTCAGCAGATCACTTTCATGTATCAAGCAGCATCCCTTTATAGTATTATGGACAGAGCTGGCCAAATTCAGTATGTTTAATGGAGTCAGTGCAGAATTATCGGTGGTCAAGTTGTTTTGTGTTTCAGATTTCTGTCTGTGAACTTGTTAGTCCTCTTCCCCACTTTAACTGGCTGGAAAAGCCAGTGTTGGAGCACCTGTCCAAATGAAGCTAGCCTTTTTTCCTTCTCTAATAGACTGACCTTGGGAGTCTAACGTCACTTTACGGTGCCCTCCTCTAGACTGTAAAAGGAAGTTATACATCCCGGCCCAGGTCTGCCATCCTCATTCTTAAGACTCCAGGGATAATCTGCTGGCATGTATGTTAGTGGAAACACTCCCTCCTTGTTGTGTCACAGATTCACAGAGAGGAGAGCAACACCCAGATGACCTTTGGCGTCACGTACTAGGCCTTACCTCACCTTTTGATTTATCTGTCATCCCATTCTCACTGTTTCTGCCCTTCTGTAACTTCTGTAGGAACAGAATCAAGTGTCTGTGATCTTAAGTGCTGTAAGGGTTCTTTTGGGGTCATGATTGTTTTTCGATAAACATTGATTCAGCCATATGTTTGGAGCCTAAAGCATCAGGTGCTGAGGGTAAAAGACCAATGAACATCAGTCTCCAACATCAAAGGAGAGTACAAGTGATGTATGCCCTTTAGAAAAGTGAATGATACAGTCTAAGCTGAAGGTAAAGAAAAGAACATGTGTTTTCCTGCCAGTGGTAGAATTCACTAAAATACAAGATTCTGATGAGATCTTATATAAGATTCTGATGAGTTCTTATATAAGACAATGTATAAAAAAGCATGGTAGAGTTTTAGAAATGTAAAATATTACCATAGTATTCTTGTCATAAGATTTTAGGTAAATAGTAATCTGTTCTTTTTTGTGTCTCCTAATATAGAAGTTATATGAGCATCTCTTCGGAAGAACCAAAGCAGAAATTTAAAAAGAATTTCTACAATTAAAGGAATTCCTTCCATGCTATAAAGGAGCAACCCCCTCCTCCAGTTTTCTAAAGATTTCTTGACCATCATTTTGAAAAGACTTTATTAAACCAGCTAAAGACAACAGACTGGATAGCTTTTCTAATAATTTTTGTCAATAGAGGAAAAAAATGTTCCTTATTCTTCAGTACTTTAAAACGGCTTTTCCAGTGTGCTCCTTCTTAGCAAATCATATTTTTCTGCATTCTCTAAAAGATGAGAGCATTTGGCTATTAAAAAAAAAAATCTGGCTGAACACGCATGATTTTTCACATAAATATTTTGGTCTTTAAAAGCTAACATAAAATTGGCACAAAAAATTTACCTTTTACAATATAATACTTGAAAAGTAAGTACCTCTTTGCTCTACAAGTAGAGTGAACAGGAGAGGTGTTTAAATTAAGCCTGTTTAAATATTACTGCAGAGCGTTCTATTTGTAGAAGCAAACTATAGGCAGGTTACCAGGTTCTTGTAAATGCAATTTGTACATGGACATTCTGCAAACCCAGCTGTCACATTCTTGCATCTCTTTTTGCAAAAGCATACTAAACAGTTTTAAAATGTGAAAAAGAAACTATTTTTTCAGAGCAAGAATATAGACTGTCCTCTTAAATAATGTATTTATAAAGTTTTTCCAGATAAACTAATCAAATAAATTAGAACAACGTGACAACATTGCAAACTTTGATTTATTAGATGCATTCCTTATGTTGCTATGAGAGAATGTTCGTGATGATTCAGGGCTATTTCTGATGTCTGTACATTGCTGCTGTCCCCAGTGATGGTGGGACTTACCTTTGCCTTACCTGATCACAAATTATTGGGGGGGGGGGCTGGAAGGGGAGTAAAGATTTACTATTTCTTTAAATAAAAAAAAGAATTTGGTTTTGCTCGTTTAAGAGCAAAGAAAACCTGATGGGATGTTGACTATGTTTGGCACACGGAGCACTGTGCAGGTCACCTTCACAAACGTCCTCCTCCTGCGTGGCTCCCGTCAGCTCTGACTTTTCACTCTTCACTTTTGCTGCTGAGCTTAGCCGTGCAAGCTCGCGCTTTCATCTACTAGCATAATTCAGTTTTATTTTACCATTTTAGAAGCTACTACTAACTAAATGTTGAAGGAGAGGGGACTCAGAAGGAACGCTTTTGTGTGTGTGTGTGTGTGTGTGTGTGTGTGTGTGGAGTGTTTGGAAAGGTAAATGTCTAGCAGTGTAATATGTTGGCTTTATTAAAAGAGGGATTGGGTAATCTATATTGAATGAGAAACTATTCATTTATTAAAATCCAGGCTATAGTAACAGCTGTAATTTGTGAAAACATTAATTTGGGGGTTTTCCCTATTCTCAGTTGTCCATGTACGTATGTGTAGTCATATTAAAAAAAAAAATCTGTTCAACAAAGTTGTTTTATTTGTTTAAGTTGACCTAGCACGAAACACCAAATAAAATGTGTTTGACATAGTTTTACTTTTAGGTTTCTCATCAACTTTACTTGGATTGAGTCTTGAGTTTTCAAATTGCCCTTCATTCAATCGCAGTGACATTTCCCCAGCTTCCTTTGAATGGGAATATAGAAAGGTTTATTTAAAATTTAGAACAATAGTTCTATTTTGGCTAGGTTTTCCTGGTTTTGTTTATATTTTTAAATTTGAGCCATCACTAACAAAGCCTTCTAAGTAATCAAGTTTTAATTAAAAGTGACAAAATTAACTATTTTTTAAAGATTTTATTTATTTGAGAGAGCTAGAAAGAACATGAGCAGGAAGAGGGGCAGAAGGAGAGGGAGAAGCAGGCTCCCCAGGACCCTGGGATCATGACCTGAGCCAAAGGCAGATGCTTAACCAACTGAGCCACACAGATGCCTGAAAAATCAACTATATTTTAAAAACAATAGTACCAGAGGATGACCTGGACCTTTACAATGTCTTGATTGCTTTTTCTCCAGCCCTTAAATGTCGATACCCGCTAGTCATAAAGAAATCTTTAGTAGGTACTATATCAAGGGCAGTACTCGGGGATCAGATATGATCCTCAGCATGAAATGAGGGTGGATGACTTTCAGTTTCTTTTACACACCATTGTGGACTGTCTAGGCCAAAGTAGTCACCAATCACAAGTTCCTTTGGTAGAGAGTGGCCCACCTCTCCTGGAAGGGGTAAGGCCATATGTCTCCTCTTGCCTAACCTCATTCCCTGGTGGAACATTACCATAAAAGCAAACGTAAAACAGAGTTCTCGCACGTAAACAAACGTATATTATCAAGCAGCGCCTTTGCCAAGCTTGGCTAAATTCCTTCTCTGCGTAATCCCACAAACGCCTCGATCAAAAGATTCACAGTAACACCGAAGCAGTGATAATTTTTTTTTTGAAGATTTTATTTATTTGTTTGGTAGAGACACAGCGAGAGAGGGAACACAAGCAGGGGGAGTGGGAGAGGAAGAAGCAGGCTTCCTGCTGAGCAGGGAGCCCAATGTGGGGCTCGATCCCAGGACCCTGGGATCATGACCTGAGCCAAAGGCAGATGCTTAATGGCTGAGCCACCTAGGCACCCCCAAAGCAGTGATATTCTGAAGGCGGAAGTAACCTAACTGAAACAGCCAGTGCAGTCTTAAATGTGTGGGGTCAGGGGAAAGATGGCACAGGAGCAAACAGCTCTAGGTCTGAAGCACTAATCAAAAGTCTTGAACTTGTATGGTCTGCCATATTCTTACACTTCGTTTTGTGTATTTTGCCTCAATATCTTTCTAGGCAACCACTTACCTTTCAAGTTCCATTTGCTAATGAAAAATTACTAACCTCCCTTATGCTGACTAACACTGGTATAGATCTAGATGACAATAGCACCCAGCCACCAGATTGGAGTCCTTCAAATGCTATCTGACCTAGCCCCCAGGGTAAGACTAAAGTGACATGGACATCACAAAGTTGATACTAAAGCATTTTGGAGTAAATTATTGCATATTAAAATATAACAGGCACCAATAAATTCTCCCATCTTTTGCATTTTTTGAAAGGTTTTATTTATTTGAGAGCAAGAGAGTGCATACAAGCTGGGGAGAGGGGCAGAAGGACAAGCAGACTCCCTGCTAAGCCCAGAGTCAGACACGGGGCAGGATCCTAGGCCCCTGAGATCACGACCTGAGCCAGAGTCTGCCGCTTTGTGGCCTGAGCCACCCAGATGCCTTTTGCATTTTCCAGATGGTTGGAAATTATTTCACTATTGGCCTACATCTGATGGTACATAGAACATGAAAAGGCATGATAGAACGGATATTGGATCAAGTTACAAAAAGCAACTAAAACATTTTTTTTTTTAAGGATTTTATTTGTCAGAGAGAGACAGAGAGCACAAGCAGGCAGAGTGGCAGGTAAGGCAGAGAGAGAAGCAGGCTCCCTACTGAGCAAGGAGCCTGATGTGGGACTCGATCCCAGGACCCTGGGATCATGACTTGAGTCGAAGGCAGTGGCCTAACCAACTGAGCCACCCAGGTGTCCGCAACTAAAACATTTTTAAAGATGCCCTTCGAAGAAATTTCAAGTCCCCACCCAACTCCTTTTTTTACTCAGCAGACACCTAAACCCGCTCAGAAGTACCCAAGATTGTCACTTTTTCACATCCTTCAGCACCTCTTGAGTTTGGGGGAGAAGCTCCAAAGACTTTGCAAGATGACAGAGGAAAGGAACAGCATGTGAACTGAAGATACAATTTCCATTGTTACAAATAAAACAATTTGTTAGTAACTTTTTCCTTGTTGACTATCACTTGGATTTTTATGTTGAGTACAATTCTAGAAGTCAAAATTACTTTTAGTAGTTAGTGCCAAGATTGGTGACATTCAAAAGAGAAAAACATTTTGATTCCTGTTTTAAAAATATACATGGAAAAAGTAGTACTGACAACTACCTTTGAATTATTGGCTCTTTAACACCTTCTAGAAGACCGAAAGGAGAAAGTTAGGAGATGGGACAATGGGGAAGAGCCAGCGCCTAGTGTTATAATACATCTGATTTCCAGGTCTGCGCTGATGGGCTTCATGAGGTTTGGTAAGTTCTCCATGTGCTCCGGGTCTAGATTTCTTCATCTGGATGTGGGAGACAATGCCTATCTCATTGGGTTGTCTTAGTAGTTATCAAGATTGGATTGAGAGTAGATGTAGGTTTCTGACGCTTAGTAATTATCCAATAGATGTTAAGTGATTTTTTTAGTCTTTAGTCTGAGATCCCTGTGGTAGGCAGGACCCTGTCCTGGAAGGTGGGAAACTTCATTCTTTCCAACAGTAGCCTTGAGTGCCACTATATATATTTTTTTAAAATAAGTTGCCTGTTCTAAGTATTATACCACACAAGCTAAACAGATAAGGATTCATTTGTCTAGAACAGGATAACAACTTTGGAGTTTCTGATCATTTTTGAGTTGTTACAAATTACTATTTAATGTCATAATTTCCCCTTTCTCCGCCCCTCCCACAATGGTTTATTTCCAACAAGAATTATATTATTACTTCATAGTCTTATACGCATGGAGGCACTCCTTGACATCCTCGGACACAATGAGACTGGTCTTGTTGACTGCAAAGCCAGGGTTGATTAAATGTTCCTCTGGATGCTGCCGTCAACAGTGGACAACCTTCAGGAGGTGCTTGCAAGAACTGGAGCAGTGGGAAGTTTGCAGAGCTGTGCGGGGACCTGGAGAGCAAAGCAAGTCATCTTCAGACCTTAGCTAACGACTCCTTTTCCTCCCCAAGTAGAGCTGCCTAACCAAAAGATGTCAGAGAAGAGATGGATTAGGAAGGTAAGAATTTGGAGGCCCATGTCAGATTTGAAGGTCACAAATCTTGGTGTGTTCTATTGATCGTTCTGGAATCATCCTTCCTTCTCCGGTGGAGGGTGGGGCAGTGGCAGGAATTTGCCTCTTCACGAAGAGCTTCTCCTGCCCTGCGCTGTGACTGATGTTGCCAACTGACAGGCTCTCCAGCTGAATGTCAGTGTCCCAGGCTTTTGGATTTTTGTATTTAATTGGGAGAGCATTAGGAAGGTAAGAGGGGAACTGACATTGGTGACTAACGTCATCAATTTTGCTAGGGTAAGAAGAGTAAAAATAAAACCACTCTGAAGGCCACTGTCAGTGGCCCATGCCGCCAGGCCACACATCTGAGGAAACTCTGGGAAAAGATAGGTATCTTTTCCGCACTGGATTAGGCTGTTACCATGGTACCTCTCTTGATAACACTCCATTTTTTGGTTGTCTTTCCTTCCTTGTCTCCTTCCTCCATTCCCTTTGAGGAGTTCCCTTTACCAACCAGATAAACTACTTCTGCTCCATCCGTGCCATAGGGTGTGCTTTCCAGGAAACCAAAACTAAGATTATGCTGAGGTCTATTAGCATGATGTTATAAAACAGAGTTTTATTTCCCAGAAAATTTAAAAAAAAACAACAGTTTTCGTTCATAAATAAGTGCATAAACATAATTTTGTCACACCAGTCAGTGAAACATATTAGGGTTAGGGTTAGCATAATTCAGTTCTAACCATATGTAAATGAGCAGTAAATGTGCTTCAGTTTCTGGGTGGATCCAGGCCTGTGGTCATCCATGATCACCCAAACACTCCATCATTTTCCCAACTGTTTATGTTCAGACAGGTGGTTCCCAGCTGTTGGATTCTGTTTCCTCACCTTCTCACTTATGTCCCATATTCTTTTCAGTGAGGTCTCAACATGTTTCGAACTCCCGCTGTCCTCCACAGTCCTCAAACCCTCTCCTCACCCCCACAGCACGATCTGTGCTATGACTACCAAGTTCTGGAGGAGTCGGAAGTACTGAATGTGTAGCATTTGCTGAAAGAATCTTTTAAAAAATCTGATAGCTTTTCTAACAATGTGCTAAACCCAATATTATCAAGTACTTTTAAAAATTAAATTGCTGCTACTACTTACACAAATTGCTCGTCAGGGAGGGATTTTCTTTCAGAGACTTTTATAGGAAACCAAGTGGAAGTGGGAAGGAAATATGAAAGGTAATCCAGTAAGTGTGTGCTTTTTACAGAAACGTGAAAGCTATCAAGATGTTACATAAACGTGCACATAAGGCTCATGAAATGTGTTCAGTTGGTCTCTACATTTGCAATTTTTAGATCAAAATGCTTATTTTACTCTTATAAAGAAATTTTAGTTACAAAAGAGCATGGCAGATCATTTCAAAATCATATTTTTTTAGCCAACAAATTTTTTAGAACAATAATTTGGGCACTATTATAAACACAATGACCTACCAGTTGTCTGTCTTGTACGTGAAGTACTCCAAATGTAAGTCTTCTATTGGATATTAAGGTGATATATTAGGAATGGAGATAGAGGAAATACGAGGCCAAAACCTTTACTGGTAGGAAAATAATCTATTGGCCGTGTTCTCAACAGAAAGAATGAAATGGAAACCTAGCATAGTTTAAAAACTAGAAATATA